ATTGTTTTTTATAATAAAAAAATGAAGAATATAAATAAAAAAAATAAAAAATAAAATGAAGAATATAAATAAAAAAAAAAATTTTATATTAAAATAAAAAATCATTATTAATAATCAAAAAAATAATTTATATGAAATTATAATAATTTTTTTTTTTTTTTTTTTTTATTCTTACATCCAATTTTTATAACTGTTTTTCTTGTAAAATAATTGAATAATTACAATGCATTTGTAAATTTTTTTTTTTTTAAAAAAAATATATATTATACTACTATTACTTTATTATTTAAATTATTTTGTTTTTTTTTGTTTTTTTCCTTTAAATGAAGCTAAAGCAATGGGGGCATTTCTCTTTTCTAATTTTTGTTGAGCAGCAATTTTTCTTAAAGCCATAACTTTTGGTGAATCGTTATTGCCATATGGTCCACCTGGTAAATAATTTGGAATAAGTGCTGTAAGATTGTTTTCGATTTCTTTCTTTTTCTTTTCAACTGATGCTTTTAATTTTTCTGCTATAAGTTTTGGCATATTATCAACTGATTCTTTAATTTTCTTTTGTCTTTATTTATGTATCAAATGATTTATATTAAACCAAATCAATTGATTTATATTAAATTTGGTTGTTTTTGAATTGGGTTTGAATTTATTTCGATAAAGTTAATTTTAAATATTAATTTTTATTGAGTTTAGTTTGGTTTGATTTGATAGAGTGAGTTGATTTAAAATATGTAAAGTTTAGTTATCCAAATTAATTTAATATTAGTTATAAGTATAAAATGATTATATAAAAAGATATAATTTAACCTATATATACCTTGGAATTTGATTTCTTTCCCAAATAGTATGTTTTGGTTGTTTTTCTGGTAATTGTTTTTTAGTATCTGCAAGTGGCCATTCTAATTGGAGTCCACGAGTTACATGTTTCTTTAAATCGCCAAGTTGTCTACCTGAAAGTTTTGGTTGTAACCAACCATTTTCACCTTTAATTGGTAAACTGTATTTTAATAATGCTTCTTTATTTATAATATATCTAGTTGTGTTCATTTTTGATAAATATATATAAATAATATAATATTATAAAAAATAATAATCAAAAAAAAAATGAAAACGAAAAAAAAAATAAAAAAAAAAAAAATAAAAATTTTTAAAAATTTTTCATAAATTTTTATAATTTTTTTTTTTTTTTTTTTCAGTAATAATCTAAATAAACACAACACACTTTTTAAAATGGAAAAAATTTCAATTTGGCTTTTAACTGTTGCTGGCTTAAGACTTTTAGGTGCTTCACAAGCCTTTTTTAATCAAAGTAGAATTAAATCAAATGTATATTCAGGTGATCCAAAATTAGGTATGTTTTATTTTTTTGTTGTGTTTAAACATTTTAAATTTCTTTTATGGTAATAATATGTATATATATTAATATTTCTTTATTTACGAATTTTTTAGCCAATCCATTATTCTGTAGATTATTCGGAAGTTGGACTTTAATGAGTTTCACTTTATGCATTGCAACTGCTTTTAACCCATTTAATAAACCATTATATTTCTGTACTTTTGTTTCATTCCTTATTGCTGCTGGTCACTTTATCACTGAATGTTTCATTTTTAAAACCTCACGTATCAAGGACTCAATCTCACCATTCATAGTCGCAGGTACTTCAATTATGTGGATGGGTTATCAATTATTAAATTGGTAAAAAAAAAAAAAAAATATCTAAATTATCATAAAAATCAAATGTATCAACAAATAAAATTTATTTAAAACAAACCATTTATAAATAATAAAATCGGTGATTGCCATTTCTTTAACTTTTCACATTATAATAGGAAATGTAATTACCAGTGAAACCCACACTTTTAAATATTTTATTTTTATTTTTTTTAATTTTTTTTTTATTTTTTTTTTATTTTTAATTTTTTTATTTATTTTTTTTATTTTTTATATTTATTAATTAATAATTATTTTTTTTTATAAACACATATACAATAATAATAAAAGGTTAAAATGGGATCATCACAATCAAAACACCATCATCACCATCATCATCACCACCACCATGATGGTAATAATGCGGCACAACAATCACAAATACAACCACAACCACAACCACAACCAATATTTAGCCAAGTAAAAATGCCAGAAATAAATATAAAATCAGAACTATTAAAAGAAGAGCATATAAGGTTAATTTCAAAATACCTACCGGATAATACGTATAGAGATACATGGAAACTGTTGTTTTCTTCACCAAAAGATGGTCACTCATTTAACAGATTCTGCCATCATGCCACCGATAAGGGTTCAGTATTAAGTAAGTGTAAACTGTAATATTATATCTGTTTATGTCATTGAGACTAATATTCATTTGCTTATTCAATATTAGTTTTAATTAGAGAAGAGGGAGGACATATATTTGGAGGATTTTGTGATGAAGCATTAAAACCAAAATATCCTAAATTTTATGGAACCAAAAATAATTTTGTATTTACAGTAGAGCCCAAATTAGAAATATTTCAAACAACAGGATTGGACAGAAACTATCAATATTTAAATCAAGGAAGCATGACACTATTTAATGGAATAGGTATGGGTGGTATTGAAGACCTATTTGGATGGTCAATTGACGGCAGTTTTGAAAACGGAACAAGTAAAGGATCACCAGAGATATTGGAGTGTGGCGATGGAAAAGCACGTTCAAGCACATATGGTAATACATGTTTAGCATCATCACCAGAATTTAAAGTAGTACATGTTGAAGTATATTTACTCAAATCTTTGGAACTCACCGAGGAGCAAATATTAGAAATTGAATTTAACAATAGAAAGAAAGGAAAGCAAAGTGTATTAAATGATGAAGGTAACAGTGACAAAGCTATAAAGAGTATGATGGGTCACGAATTTAGTGTATATAACGAAGATCTCAATGAAGATCCTAATAAAATAAAAGATAATAAAATAAATTTTTATCCTTAAATATTTATATATTTAAAAACATAAAAACTGGTAAATCTTGAATTTTAAATTTTTTTTTTTATTTTTTTTTTTTTTAAATTTTTAAATTTTTAATTTTAAATTTCTTTTTAATAATTTTTTTTTTTTAAATTTACCCCAAAATTATTTTTTTTGTATTTTTAAATACTAATAATAATAATAGTAATAATAATAGTAATAATAGTAATAGTAATAGTAATAGATTTCATTTTAACCCATAGTATTGTAATAAATAAAAAATGGATAAGGGTTTTAATTGTGATAACGAAGTTTTCTTTTGGAGGGTTTATCGAAATAAATTTATAAGAAACAAAATATTTAAAGAATTTAGAATTTTTTTTGAAGCAAAGTACTCGTATTACGAAATTATAAGCATAGAGTGGATGGTAAAGAATCGTCATTATAATCTATTAAAAGAGAAAATAAGGAATAAAGAAACCTTATCATTTAACCATATTTATGTGGACGATAGCGAAAGATTTAATGAAAGCCATTTGTTTTCATCAGCAACATCATTAACACCGACATCATATAGAATTACAAAGAATATGGATATAACTACTTTAAAGATATTCAAATATTCAGTTTTTAACTGCCCCGAATTCAAATATAAAGAAGAATATAAAGAATTATATTTAACGTTATTCGAAAACTACGGCCACTATTTTTTTTCGTTTATAAGTAATAATTTAGAACCACAACAAGAACCACAACAACAACTACAACAACAATCACAACAACAAAGACAAAATATTATTTTTAATAATATATTAAATTTAATAAATAATAGTGCAAATAATTTTAATGAAATGAATAATTTGGCTTTAAAAATGATAGAATATGACAATGCAATAGTACTAGAAATATTTATAGAAAAGTTTAAGTTTAAACCCAAGGTAGATAATTTCTTAAGAGCTTTATCAATAAACTCTTTAAAAGTTGCTGAATTTTTATTCAAGAAATTCGATTTCAAAGTTAAAAACAAAGAAAAATTATGGCGGGATTTATGTGAAACCTATTTAGATAACACCCAGAGGGATTTACTTCCAAATACAACCACTACCTCAACTGCAGCGGCTGCAGCTACAAATGTTTCATTTGCACATGCTTTAAATTTTTCACCTGAACCTCCTCGAATCATATCATCCAATCAAATTAATCAAAGAGCTCTGTTTTTAGTAGATGTTATGAAGTTTGAACCACCAAGTGTTGCTCTAAAAGATTTCAAGTATCTATTCAATTTGGTTTTATTTGATCAACCTTTAAGAGTGCTGTATGAGTCGTGCATGGTAATTTCATTGTTAAAGCAACCACTCAAACCATACATCAACTATATAAGCGATAGAAAATCAAACAAATTCAATATAAAGAATATAGAGTCGTTTCAAAAGTTGGACCAATTAAAACTTCCTCCACCTCATATTATACCCTTTGAGGAACTTAGAGAAATGAATTTTAGTTTATCAGAAATGGATCAACTTGTAAAAAACTATCCAAGTGTAGCAACTGAAAACAATGAAGTAAATCAAAAAGTCGAAAGATTAATTATGATGATAGTGTACTTTCTAGATCCATACCCAAATATTTTTGGCAAGAATATAACCTATTTCGTCTCAAAATACTATCAAGGTGAATCTTTTCAAATACTAAAAGACTGGAGTGAAAAAGAAACATTCTATAAATATTGCAGCAAAGAAAGAGAACTACAACTTACCAATTATCTAGTTTCAATATATTCAGAAAGAGATATACAACAACTAAAATTTTTAATGAATATGTTAATATCACAGGATAAAATTGATTCAGTTAAAATAGTATACGATAAACTTTATAAAATTACAATGACTAAACTCGAAAGAATAATTAGCACTGATAATAGTACAGGTTATAACCATGCTATACTAAATAACATAGGACATGAAGATTTAGAAAAAGCAATTGTGTCAACAATATTTATTGATAATATATTTTTAATGGTAAACTCAACTGAAGTATTTGATTTTATTTATGAAAAAAGTCCATTACAATTTCAGTTAAATCAAATCTTTCCACAGAAATGCTTCCTTATTAAACATTTTTATAAAAACCATAATTTAGAATATAAGGTGCAAACCCAAAAGTTTTATTTCCAGTCCAGGGCAATACAAGCAGACTCTTTAAGGTTCATCTATGACCATTTAGATGATTTTAGAGTATCATTAAGCTACCTAATAAGCAATTGGTGGGAGCTTTCAAAGCAATTTCAAAAGCAAAGCCCAGAAGAACACGGCAAAGATAGTAGTGATGGTTTCCAAAAGTTTAAATTTTTTATTTCATCTGCAAACTATATGAAGGGTCCAGAAATTACATTGTACCACTATTACAACAACACATTCAATCATTACTTGTTGGAAAAGATTAGTAGCTTGAACGATTTAAAAAATCATCAAAAACAATACCTTCATCATACTCCTGGTAGCTTCGACTCTACAAACTACAGCCTTACCAATAGTTTAAATCAAGTCATGGGTCAAATAGCAACAAGAGGTGATATTGAAACCTTAAGTTTCATTATGAAAACTTTATTCCCAAACGAAAATGATAATTTGGTAGAAAGAAAGTTTATAATAGGGGTATTATTCTCTGCAACTTCAGTGGGTCAATTAAGAATATTCAAGTTTTTAAATGATAACTATAGCTGGGTTTTTAAAGTATATGATGATTCAATTTATAATAGCAGCAATTATAATAATAACAATAACAATAATAGTAATGAATTTACCTCAAATGATGATGAAAAAAAACTAGAGGTTTTCCAAAAGTCTCACTATAGAATCACAACCGACATTTTAAAAAGAATGGTTTCCGTATCTTTAGACCATTGCCATATAGATACTTTAAATTATCTTCAAACAATACCAGCTTTTAGAAACCATATAAATTATAATTTAATGAAAAGATTTATATAAATAAATTTTATTTTTAACATATATATTACAGATGATCAAAATGTGGTCAATTTTTGGTTTTTTTTTTATTATTGCAGAAATTAATTTAAATATAATAAATAGATAATAGTTGTTAACAACTAATCACAGATAAAATATGTAATTAAATAAATAAAAAATAAAAATTTATTATGAAAACAAAAAATGCAATTTTAGTAAGAAAAATACTTTAATATGACTCGATAAGTTGATGATCAAAATTTTTATATAAAAACTTATAAGCTTATTCAAGAACTATCCACGCTATTTTACAGATTTTTTTTAAATCAAATTTCCATTTTAAATTTCTTCAAAGAAAAACAATCCTTACTTTATCTTTAGCTAGAGTATTGGGGAACATAGCACACAATTTCCCTATGTATTTAGTATAAATCACAAAATTCCAACCCATGCTAAATGTATTAGAAACAAAATTATGGAAATAAATTTATTAATTACATTTATAAAACATTAAAAATAACAAATTTTTATAATAAAGATTTCTTAATTTAATTAAACATTGATATGATTTTGTCTAATTAAAAAATAAAATATTTTATCAAAACCAAAAAAATAGACTTTGTAGCCATATTAGTTTTATATTTGTTTATTAATATTACTATTTAAATTACTTGGTTTTTTATTTTTCTTTTTTAAAATGCTTAAAAAAAAAAAAAAACTATGGTATTAGAGGGTTAAATTTTATTTATTTTTTAATTTTCAGAAATGTAAAATTTTTTAAAAATAATCACACACACTAATTATTACATATCTATAAAAATTTATAATTTTAAATTGTAATTGAATTTTAATTATTCATATTTTTGTAAAAAATTTTTATAAAAAAATTTGATATTTATTTTATATTGGTAAATAAATAATACCTTTAATAAAAAAACTATAAATTAAAAGTAAAATTTTTTTATTTTATTCATTCAAAACAAAAAACAAAAATCAAAAATCAAATTTTATAAAATGTTATTTAGTAAGTATTATAAATTTTAATTTTATTGGTATCTATAAATATAGATTTTAATATTTATTTTATAAAATAGAATCAATCCAATCAATCAACAACATCAAATCATCAACCAATAACAAAGTTGCTACCGATATGATCAACCAAGGACAATCCTCAAACAATGTTGCCGTCTTAGGTTTAGTTATTGACCTTAACCCACTCTTAAACCTTAAAGTTAGTCTCTAAAAGAAACAAACAATTTCACACTGCAACCGTGAAAAAAAAAACATATCATTACTTTTATTTTATTACAAAATCTAAATAAAAACTAATTTATTCATTATTAAAAAAAAACTTTTAATTTAATTCTTTAATTTAATTCTTTAATTAAAACTAAACATTATACCCTAATTAAAAAGATACTATTTTTTTTATGATTTATTTAAAACCCTTTATTTATTTTTTTTATCATTTATAATAATTTTTATAATTGTAATGAATCTTATTGGGCTATCAAATAAATCAATCTTATAATTTTACCTAATATATTTATAATAAGTGTTCCTTTAAAAATTGTAACTTTTTTAAAATATTTTTTACTTTTTTATAATTTAAATTAAATGGTTATAAAAAAAAAACTATAAATAAAAAAAAAAAACTAAACCATTCAATACAAAAATACCAATACAAAATAAAATGTTATTTAGTAAGTTATAAAAAAAAAAAAAAACTAACTCTAATATTAACAATTCTTTTTTTGACTTTATTATAGAATCAATCCAATCAATCAACAACATCAAATCATCTACCAACAACAAAGTAGCCTCCCAAACTATTGGTTCAAATCAATCATCAAATAGTATCGCTCTTGTTGGTTTAGCTGTTGATATTAACCCACTCTTAGGTTTGGGTATCTTTATTTAAACCATTTATTTCAAAGATAAATTTATTTTTTTTTACTTTTTATCAAAAAATAAAAAAAAATCATAAATAAAATAATATTATTTATTACCTTCAAAAAAAAAAAACTAATTTTTTAAACTTTATAGTAAATTTTATTTCCACGATAAATATATTTTAATATCTTTTATTTTATTTTTATAAAACCTTTTTCTTTAAATCTGGGAATACCTTGCCAATTTTCCCTAAAAGATATTCACCATAAGTATAAGTTGTATTATTATGAAGGTTAACATGGTCCCATCTTGTGGCACTATCATCTTGATTTTCTACATCTTGTAAACCTTCAATAGCAGTTGGTAAACTATTAAAGTGTGGATCGAAAAAGAGTGGGAAACTAATTCTAGTTTCACCTGATGTATTTAATCTTACACGGTGAGGAGTTGAACGATAGTTACCACGGGTAAGACGCTCTAACATATCACCAATATTACAAACAAAGGTACCTGGGATTGGTGGAGCTTCAATCCAGCCATTTTTAGCACGTACTTGTAAACCACCTACTTTATCTTGGTATAATAGAGTAAGAAGACCATAATCGCTATGCTCTCTAATCAATTTAAATAATAAGCTATATTAGTATGATATATTTATAGAAATATATAATATTATATCTATAGAGATATATACCCAACACCCCATTTATAATTATTTGTTTCTTCTCCTTTAAATGATGGATAATTAAAAATACGGAATAAAATTAATGGATCTTTTGTATATTTTTCATTAAAATAATTTCTTGGTAATTTTAAACTTAAAGCGATTAACTCCATGACTGAATGACCTAATAAAGTAACTTGATCCATATATTCAAAAATTGTTTTTCTAAAGCCTTCGATATCGTATTCCTTTTCTTCTTGATCGCTTGGTAATAAATTTTTGCCATGAATTGGGGTATTGTTCTTTACCATTTCATGGTCATCATCCAACTCACTGCCTAAATATAAACCTTGCTTAGCATCTGGTAAATCAGATGTATATTCGCCACCTACAATAAAATATCCACGCCATGCTTTTTCAGCAAGCTCCATTCTCCATTTCATTTTAATTTCTTCTTTTAATGCGAAAAACTTTTTTGACAAATCCTCTAAACGCTGAATTAAATCTTGACTAATTCCATGACCTGAAATATAAAAGAATCCAAATTCTCTATTTAACAAAAAAATATTAAAATAAATATATAAAACCAAATATTTAATATTTTTTATCAATGAACCCACCTACAAGCTTTTTCGATTTCATCTGCTATCTTATCTCTTTGCGAATCATCTTTCATTAAAGAAATATCGATAATTGGTAATGTTTCTGCAATCTCTATCATTTTTTATTTATTTTATATCTATTTGATTATTTTTAATAATATTTAAAAAATAAAAAATAAAAAAAAAACTAATTTTTTTTTTAAAATATCTAAAAAATAAAAAAAAAAAATAAAAAAAAATAAGAAAACTATAACCATTTTTCTTTAGAATGAATCTCCATCCAATTCCATCAAATCTTAATTATGCCAATTATAATTTTATTATGGTTTTTAAAAAATAAATAAAAAAATTATATTCACAAGAAATCCACAAATAAATAAAAAAAGATAGTGCAAGTGACTATTTTAAAACTTTAATTAAAAATTAAATAATTTTGTTATTTTAAATTTTATTTTATTTTTTTATTTTAAAAAATTATAATACAGTATTTGTATCGTTACTAAACATACTATTTTTATTCTGATGCATTACATCTCCACAACTCCTTCTTCTTTTGTTTGCTATCTTCTACACAAAGTTATTTTTTCTTTTTTTTTTTCTTTTTTTTTTCTTTTTTTTTTTTTTGACAATTTTTTTTTTTTGTTTTTTTTATTAAAGAGATCCAAAATAGGTTAAAAACATACTGGCCACCATGACTGAGGAAACCTAGAGAACCATACCAGCATCTGATAATGTTAAGTTTAACACAATATCTTTGACAGCATTAAATACTACAAGAATATTATTGGTATCAGTAGCACAAGTTAAATGTGGATAAATAGATTTCTTTGGGTTTTCGTTTTGGCTAATAAATTGTTTTTTAATATATTCTGAGCATTCTTCATAGGTTTGTGGACCATCATAATCTTTGAAACAAACAGTAATTGGTACTTTGGTGATCTATTATTAAAATAATAAAAACGTTAATATTTATTTTTAGTGGGTGGGGTTATAAATATTGAAAAAAAGACTAATTACCTTTTCAGAGAAGATATCTCTTTTATTTAAGAAAAGAATCATGGCAGTATTGGCGAACCATTTGGTATTACAAATTTCTTTAAAGAGTTTAAGTGATTCTTGCATTCTATTTGTAGTATCATCTTCATAAAGTTTAAGATCGTATTCGCTGAGAGCAACACAAAAGATAACTGCTGTAACTTCTTGGAAACAATGCATCCATTTTTTTCTTTCAGATCTTTGACCACCTACATCAACCATTCTAAATGTACTGTTCTATAAAATAATAAAATATTTATATTAATATATATAAAAATTTGTTATTATTATTTTCATATTACTTACTTGAATTTCGAAAACAGTTTCAATAATACCAGTAGTTTTGGTACGTGAACGTAAAACATCATTTTCATTTGGAATATAATTTGGTTGACTAATTCTTTCAATGCTATCAAAATAATAAGCAGCTGAATCGTTCAATTGGAATTCAGATGATCTTTGGAAAGCTTGTTGAATACCTGGATCGTTCCAAAGGGCTTTAATATCTTGAGCCAATTCTGGGGTGAGAACACCGTTAAAGTGATCACCAAGATCGTTTGAAATTCTAGATGCAGCTTCTTTATTACCTTCGCTAATACCAATTTTAAGTTCTTCGGCAGCATTGACTAAAACTCTCATTGAACCAACTGTGTTATTATAAATAATGGTTTTGTATGATGATTTTTCTTCTTCTGTGAAACCATTCAAATGAATAATTTTCATTTGTTTAGCAATTGTAGATTTACCTGATTCACCTGCACCTAATAAAAGTAATTTAATTTCACCGTCTAATCTTGATCTAGCTTGCTTTAACATATTATTAATATTTTGATTGGTTTTGATTTCTTCTGCTGTACCCATCTCTGGTTTTCCGCAAATATTACCCATGTTTTTTATCTATATATATGTTTATATCAAATTTGATTTTTGATATAATATTTAAAAAAAATTTGTGATTTTTGAAAAATTTACTGATCTTTTTTTTTTGAGTGTTTTTTGAGTGTTTTTTTGAAATAATACAATTATATAATATTAAATTATTTTATCTAATCTAAAATAAATAAATAATAAATAAATAAAATAAATAAATAAATAAAATAAATAAAAAAAATAAAAAATAGAAATTTTTAAAAAAAATATAAAAAAATAGTTTTTATTTTTTTAAAAAAAAAAAATAAAAAAAAAAAAGGAAAAGAAAAGAAAAGAAATATAAAAATGTTAATATTATAATTTGATAATTTATTTTTTTGATATGATATATATAATTATATTTTGTTTTATATAAATTTAGTTATTATTTAATACAATTTTAAAAATAGAAAAAAAAACAATACAACAACAACAACAACAATAAAAATAGAAATAAATATTAATTAATAAAATAGTGATATTTGAAATAATATAAAATAAAATATTTTAAAAATAAATATTAAATAAAATAAAATAAACAAAATAAAAACAAAACAAAAAAAACAACAAGCCAACAACAAAATATATATGAAAAACTATAATTGTATTTTTATGTGAGGTTTGTTATTGTGTTTTTTTTTTTTTTTTCTTTCTTTGTTGTTGTTTTTTATTGTTATTGTTTGTTGTTCTTGAGAGTTTTGTTTATTTGTTAGAATAATGATAAGAAAATTTGTGTGTTTTGGTGTGTATTTAATGTGTATTTTATTTTTAAGTGTGTTGTTAGATAGATATTGAAAGAATATAGTAATAGTAGTGGGTGGGTGGTGTGTGGTTCATTACTTTATAAAAATATTATTATAATAATGTTTTTTTTAAACTTTTATGTGTTTATAAAATAATGTATAAATATATATAAAAAGAAAACTCTAAAGGTTATAATATGATTATTTTTATTATGACTGATTATTATGATTATTATTATTATGATTATTATTTTTATTTTTTTGATATATATACTATTGTGTTAATAGTTTGTTTGTTTTATTTTTTTTGGTTTGTTATTGTTGCTAATTTGTTTGGTTATGTTGTTATTGTTGTTGTTATAAGGATGTTGGAAGAAAAGAAATAAAAAAAAAAAAACTTTATAGATTTTTTATAAAATAATGATAAAAATAAAAAAAATAATTATTTGGGGGTTATTAAATTTGTGTGAGAGTGTTGGTTATTTTTTGGTTTGTGTGTGTTTGATAATATCATAATAATAATAATAATAATAATATTAATAAAACTATTATTTTAATTTTTTTACGAAATGACTCTGCTGATTTTATAAAATGTTTTGATTGATAGTAGTGTTGTTTCGGTGTGTGTGTTTGTGTGCGTGTGTGTGTGTGAAAAATGAAAAAAAAAAAAAATAATAATAAAAATAATAAAAAAATTAAATAAAAAAAACTTAAAAAAACTACATACGAGATCAATTTAAAATTAATATATATAAATATGTTTTTAATATTATTTATTTATTTATTTATTTTTAAAAACAAATGAGAGAGTGGTACAAATATACACGTTTAAAAATCTTGGCATATAAAAAAAACCATATACTTGAAAAAAAAAAAAAAATTTTAAAAAAAAATAAAAAAAATATTTTTAAAAAAAAAAAAAAAAATTTTAAAAAAAATTTAAAAAAAAAAATAAAATAAAAACTTACTGTTTTTTTTAACGCACATAACCATCATTTAGATATAGCTTTTTTATTATTTGTGTGTGAGAGTATTCGAAAAAATGTAATTTTCATTTTCATTAAATATCTTTTAAAATTTTTTTTTTTTTTATTTTTTTATTGTGTATTTTTATGTGAAGGTTATTGTGAAGATTATTTATATATATATTTTTAGATTGTTTATAAAATATCAAAAAAAAAAAAAAAATTAAAAAATTAAAAAAAAATTAAAAAAATAAAAAAATTGGAATAATATTAAAATAAATAAAAAAAATATAAACACAAATATTCATTCCAAATAAATATATTTACTCGAAAATTATTTGTATTTGTTTTTTTTATTTTTATTTTAATATTATTTCAATGACACAATTAATTTAAATTAATTGTTTAATATTTATTTTTTTTTTTTACTTTTTTTTTTTTAATTTTTTTTTAATTTTTTTTTTTTTTGATTTTTTTTTAAATTTTTTTAGTTTTAATTAAAAAAAAAAAAAAAAGTATCCTACGATAACAATAATTAAATAACAATAATAAAATAATAATAGAAATAACAGTAAAATAGCAATTAGTTTTTTTTTTCACATAAATTAAATAAATGGATAAATCAACAAAAATATTATTCGATGTGTTTATTACGGATCCAATTTCAGTAAATAAAGTTATTTATCGGTCATGGTTGGATGGCATTTCGGAAAAAGAAACAATTAATTTAAGAGAGGAATCAAAGAATCCAAATATACCAAAGCATTTAATACTTGAAGAAACAGAGGATCAATATAGAATTTTTTCATTACTTCAAAAAGCATTAGAACATCCTAAAACACTTTCATCACATTCAATGTTTCAAATGGACCCATCATCAAGAAAGTTATTAATCGAAGGTTTTTATGATTTCGACGAGGATTTATTAAGGGAATTAATTGGTAGAAAATTAACATCGGGTCAAAGAAGAGATTTGGATGACACAAGCGAAAAATTAAAATTAAGATTATCATCATGTGAAAGACAGGTAATTGGTTTATCATCATCATCATCATTATTATTATTTGGGTTAGTTAAACAAGTTACTAATATAGGTTTTTATTAATTTTAATATTATAGTTTGATAATTTAAAGAGAATTTCAAGAGTAGTATATGCAGATTTGAAAACCTCAGCTTTAGAAATTATAATGAATGAATTTTCATTACCAAGAGAATTATCAAAGTAATATATTTTTAAAATTATAATATAATTATTATTATGTTAACAACTATTTTATATTTAGGAAATATGTTAGATTATTATTTTTATGTTTTCACAGAATCGATTTATCAAAGAAAAAAATTCAATTTTTAACAACATTCGATTTAATTAGGTTATCAGAAATTGTTATGAATCAGTGGGGTGATCCTATTAGAACATATGCATTGGAGCTGGACTTAAAATTAAAAGAGGATGTTAGAGATTTAAAAACATATTTAGGCAGTCAAAAAGAAATTTCAGAGAAGTATTGGAAATTAATAAAAAATAGATATCAAATTGCATCTACCTCACCAAGAATAACGCCAGTGACAAATTCATCATCATCTATAGGTGGGGCACCGTCTTTATCAAATACCCCTTCACTATCATCAATGAATAACTCTTCAAATTTTGTTCCCATTTTATCGACCACTACACCAAACTCCTCAAATACACCAACCTCAACAATACCGCAATCTTATTCCTCATCAAATATATCAGCAATGAACCAACAACAACCACAAACTATATTCCAAACCAATCAATCATCCACACCCATTATAACATCAACATCTAGTGGTATCATCTCCACCAGCACATTATCACCCGAGAAATTAAAAAATCTTGAGGGTAAGTTTAAATCGATATTGAAGGGTTTCCTTGTTATTGGTTCAAATTTATCAGATAGCAAAGAGTTTAGAAATCTCTTTGAAGATATTGTCGAAAAGGTTATTGAACCACTCAAAAGAATAGATTTGGCAATTTATGAAGTAGATACATTTTTCGTTTTCCTTCGTGAAGTTTTTAGTCCAGAGCATTTAGGTATTACCTCTTTACGTCATAGAGACCGTGTTGTGCACAATTGGAAATCATTTTTAGAGGGTATACGTTGTGTTGTAATTTATATTTTATCACTTAATAAATTGCCTTAAAAAACAAAATAAATAAACAATATATAATTTCTTTTTATTTTTTTTTATTTATTTAAAAATTAATTAATTATAAATGATTCTTAATTAATGATTTATAAACTTTATTTAAAATGTTAGGATTTAACATTGTGTTCTTTTAAAATTGATTTATAATAAATTATTATTAATTAAGTTTCAAATGAAATTATTTAAAAAATTTTAAAAAAAGTTAAACAATGTTTAGATTTATAAAACATTTATTTTTTTTAACAATTATTGGAATTGTTATTAAAATTTTTTAAAAAATAACTATTTTTTTTTAAAGACATATAATGGGTTTAATAAAAAAATCATAAACTCTAAATACTTTTAGGATCATTTATAACCGAACAAAAAAAAAAAAAATTTTTTTTTTAAATTAAATATTATTTTTTTTTATTTTTTATTTTGTTTAAGAATTTTTTTTTTTTTATTATTTTTTTTTTTTTTAATGATGTCCACAACCACAACCACAACCATATCAACCACACAATCAAATATTAAATTAAAATATAACATTGAAGATATTGTAGTTGATCTCCCATCATTTTCAAAAAAATTCGAATGTAATGTTTGTTTTAATTATATATTAGATACCAAGAAAAAAGAAGCAAGGCAATGTATTGAAGGACATATTGTATGTTTACCATGTTGGCAGCAATCGTTAAGAGGCAGAAAAGAATGCACACAGTGTAGATCTCCAGTGGAATCGGTTTCAAAGCTTAGTAGAAATAGATTTATGGAAAAAGAATTTGAAGAAACTTTAGTAAAATGTCCCTATTCAAATCAAAAGATAATAAAAGAAGCAATTGGTACCCAAAGTATTAATAATATCAATCCAAACTTAATAAAACTTGACATATTATGTGACAGTGTGGTAAAATTTAAAGATTTGGATAACCATCTAGGAAATGAATGTCATCACCGAGTTTTTAAATGTAGTTGCAACCTATATTATAGAATCTATAGTTCAGAAGATCACAACAAGCAATGTTTATTATCAAATGTAAAATGTGAACATTGTTCCAAACAAATTCAAAGAAGGCTATTACAGGATCATTATAAAAATGATTGTGCAACTCATTTGTCAAAAAATTTATCAAAATTATCAGTGAAATGCGATTACCAAGGTTGTGAGACAGAATTACCAATTCACAAAATTTCAGATCATATTACATCTCATATGAACCATCTTCATTCCACCATCAAGCAATTAGAAAATAAAAATAAAGAAATAATGGAAAAATTAGAAGATGTAAAATCTGCATGCAACAGATCGATTTTAGAAATTGTCTTTCTTAAAGGAAGTCTTAATAATGTGAGACTAGGTTATGCCAACTCACTCAGCAGTTTTTGGGCAATCAGTGATTATAAATCAAAATTAAGGGAATATCCTCACAGGAAATTTTTAGATTCTAATGCTTTTAACGTAGGTCCTTTCAGATTTAATTGGCGTATTTACCCTTATGGGTGCCCTGGAAATCCTGGTCAAACATCACTACATCTTACTTCAGTCGAGCTTCAGGGCCTTGACGTGACCGTATGGTTTAATGTTAGAATTGAAAACGATAATTATTTAGTAGAAAGATGCAAAACGTTCTGTAAGTTTAATTAAATAATTTTCTATCAATCATAAATACTAATTTCTTCTTTTTATTAGGTTTTAATGAAGTGCACCGAACTGAAAATGGATTTCCAAGATTGATAACCTCAAAGGAATTGGTTTTTGAATGTATTGATAAAGATGGTGATCTACAAATATTTTTCGATATTAAAATAGAAAAAGTAGAATCAAATGAACAAGATCCATTGTTTTCTTAATAAATAAATAAACAACTTAATAGTCTATTTTTGGTTTTTAAATTTTTTATTTGTGTTTTTGTTTTTTTTTTTTTGGGGGGGGGGGGGAGGGGTTTAAATTAAAAAACTTAAAAATTTTTAAATAACTTAAATTGAATTTTTGATTTAAAATATTAAAGTGGGTTTTTAGTGTTTATTTTTTTAATTTATTTTTACAAAATATATATTTTATTTTTATTTGTTTTTTTAACTTTTTATTTATTTACCAATTAAAAGACTATAATTGCAATTTTGAGAAATGGCAAAAAAAAGTATTGAAAAAAAAAAACCTGTTCAAACAACTCCACAACAAAAAGAAGAGGATGGATCAATTAATTTGAAATTAAACTACACTATTGATGAAATTGTAGTTGATTTTGAATCTTTTGATAAGAAGTATGAATGCAATGTATGTTGCAACTACATTTTAGATACCAATATTAGAGTAGCAAGACAATGCCCCAAAGGACACTATGTATGTATGGAGTGTTGGGAAAGAATTTTAAAAAGTAAAAAGGAGTGTCCACATTGTAGAACCAAAGTAGAGTCTGTACCAGCACTAAGTAGAAATATATTCCTTGAAAATGAATTTAATGAATTACTAGTACATTGCCCATTTTCAAAAGAAGGTTTAGTCAAGAATGGATTGAGTTTTAATATTACAACTAGTACAAATGATAATATTAAAATCAATAAAATTTGTGATTGCAAAGTTAAGTTTAAAGATTTAGACAATCACTTAAGGAATAAATGCCATAGAATTATAAAGTGTTGTTGTGGTGCTTATTTCAAAAAAGAAAACCATCCAGATCATATTAAACAATGCCCGGAATCAAAGATAAGTTGTGAAAATTGTTTAAAACCAATTTCAAAATCCCTATATGAAAACCATAAAACAGAATGCTCTGAATTCTTTATAGGTCAAATTAAGGCATTACAAAAATGCAATTTCCCAGATTGCAATATAGAATTACCAATGTATCAAATGGGCAAACATATGGAATCTCACGTCAACTCTCTTTATACTATGATAAAAGATCTCTCAATTCGTATTGATGAAAACAAATTAGACCATCAAAAATTTCCTGATGAATACTCATACCAAAATGAAGAAAAATATTTACAAATAGTTAAAGAAAATAAAATTTTAAGGGAAAAAATTGAAAATAATGAAATGGTAGGTGTTTGGACAATTCAAGACTATAGAATTTCAAATTTTATTACATCAAAATCATTTAATGTAGGTTCTTTTTCTTTTTTTTTATTATATAACGAAGGTTTGAATGATACATCCATAATCCTTATTGCAAACAATATGAAAGTTTTAAAAGTAAATGGAATTTTCAAAATCAAAATTTTAAACTTCTCGAGCGAAATAAGATTTAGTAAGTAATATTAATAATTGATAATTAATTATTTTTATTATATTAATTAAGTTTTTTATTTGCAGTGTTTGATGATAAAATAGGAAAACTTTATATGGATATACCAAATAAATCATTACATGATCCATGTTATAAAAATGACTTGATCATTAATTTCAGTGTTAAAATTTTAAATAATAATTAAATCATAATAGATTCCTAAATTGTATAAATATTAAAAAAAAAAAAAAAAAATAATTGTGCCCTATTCCCAATCCATACCCCCAATTTTTACCAAATTAATAAAAATAAATTAAAAATTTTATAAACTCTTTGAAAAAGTAAATTTTAATTTCAAAAATATAGATGAGTGATTTACGATTTAAGGTAAAATTAGGTTAATAATAAGAAATAAATAATTTATATTAATATAGTAAAATCAATCATAATAATAATTACAAAAATAGATTGAAATAAAAATTAATAAAATTTAAAAAATAAAAAAAATAATTTTTTTATTTTTTAATTTTTTATTTTTTTTTTTTTGAAATTATTTTTTTTATTTTTTTAGATTTATTATTTTTTAATTCTCTTTAAAATTTAAATTAAAATATAAATTATAATTTATAAATATTAAATAATAATAATAAAATATAAATAAATAAAACCAATGTCTTTATATAAATAGTAATAATAATAATTTTTATAAAATAAATTAATAATAAAATGTTTACAGAAAAAGAAAGATTAGAAGCCAAAAAAATTAGAGTAATACAAGATTGTTTAGAAAATCCTATCGATATTGAAGGACTTAGGATGTGTGCAATCACCGAGTTTGGATTTGTAAATAATGTATTAAGAAAAAGAATATGGCCAATACTATTAAATATAGATACAAATAATATAATAAACCACAGCGAGCATATTATAGATCATAAGGATACTGATCAAGTATCAAAAGATGTAGAAAGATCAATGTGGAGATTTACAAGAGGCAAAACACAACTAAGGTATGTAATAAATAACAAATAAAATATTTTATATCAATAATAATAATAATAATAAATATATATAATCGAATATTAATTAATATTTTTATAATAGAAATCGTAAAAAACCAGAATTAACTAGAATTGTAAACTCTGTTTTATCATTACATTCAAACTTATATTATTTTCAGGGTTATCATGAAATTGCAAGTGTTTTACTTTTGATTACAGATGAATCTTTAGCATTTGCAATGTTGGAAAGATTATCATTAAATCATTTTAGTGACTGTATGTTACCAAATTTTTCAGAAATTTTAAAATTATTAAATTATATATTTCCATTGGTATCAATGGTAGATCAAGAGGTATATACAAAATATATTAAAAAGCCCATAATCAATCTATCCCATTTATTAACTTAATCATTATCATTTTAGGTTTATGACTTTTTAATTAAATCAGGAGTGCAACCAATGTTTGCTATTAGTTGGATATTAACATGGTTTTCACATAACTTAGAAGAGTTGGATTTAGCAGCAAGAGTTTATGATTATTTTTTATCAAGCCATCCTATGGCATCAGTTTATTTTTCAGTTTCAGTTATTACAAATCTTAGAGATCAACTATTAAAATTAGAATGTTCATTCGACTCTATCCATGCCTTTTTTACATCCAACTTACCCGAAAATTTGGATTTAGATAAAATTATATTTGAAGCTGATAAATTAATTGATAAAATACCACCCAATAAAATTCAAATCATTTCTAAAGAACCACTTTTACCAACGTATGTTAACATTACTCACCTATATAAGCTATACCATAATCAACACTAACCCTATTGTTTTTCATTAATAAAGATCACCTATTAATCACTATCCATGGGATTGGATGTCTATTAATAACGCAAAGAGAAATAGCTATAAAAAAACATTATTAAAGAATCATAAACTATCAAAGAATCAAAAAAGACACAGTCAAGTGTTTAAAGTAATTTTCTTTATATTATTTGGATCACTATCACTCTTTGGATCCCTCGTTTTCCTTTCAATCAAATCACCAACAACCTTCAATTCGCTATACTCTTTCTTTTCACCAATAATATTAAAAATTTTAAATTTCAACGAACCAAATAGTCCCATTAAAAATTACCTTGCCAATTTATTAAACTATTCAATGCCAATTTTTAATAATAACAACAATAATAATAGTAATGTTTTAAATAATAATACTATAAACTAAACAAATAAATAAAACAATAGGAAAGAAAATATAACCGATTTTATATTTCTTTTTCTTTTTCTTTTTTTTTTATTGTATAAATAAATTTTATTTTTATATATAAATTATTGGGTGGGTGGTATTTTATTTTTGGTTTTAGTTTTCTTTCTTTTGATTTAAAATATGTAAAAGTGAGTTTGTTGATAACATAATTTCGGCTATTAAATCAAAACTTGCACGCTTATTTATTGAATTGATTGAAATTTTAGCACATTCTCTGGTGGTTTCTTGGAAGGCACATAAAGTTAATGCTGTAATTAAATCCTGATAAATGGTTTCAGATAAGAAAACTCTTTTCTTTGAAAGCTCTTTAGTATAGTTATTTTGTTCTTCGATTGAGTTTCTATGAATTAAATAATTGGTTAATCCAGTAATTGGTTTATAATGTTCAATATTTCCTGTATTATTATTATTGTTATTGATATTATTGGATGTTGACTGTTCATTACTTTCAGGTATCTTTGTATCTATTTTTATAATTCTTTCACAAACTGGAAAATCTTCGATATATTTATAACCCAATGCTGAAATTCTATAAAAAATGATTAATGTTAAAAAAAAGAAATAAAAAATAAAAATAAAAAAAAGTTTATAATTTACCTTGTTGTCATTTCGCAAAATAAAACCCTTGAGATTATAGATAATGATAAAATATTTTGAGTATATACACTTTGAATAGTTTTAATTAATATATTTCTATTGTGTGATGTAATTGATTCGATTCTTGGCAATGGTTTTTCTAAAATGATTGATTTCGATTGTTGGTTAAGGTTTTTAAGCATACTTTCGGTTAAAGATGAATTACCAGATGGAAAGATCTCTTCAGATTTATAAATATAGGATGGTAATGAGAGTGTTGGTGGATTGAATACCTTTTCTTTTAAACCTCTTTTAATATACTCTTGATTGTAAATACAAATTAAAACTGATTCTAAACCAACCAATGCATTATTTGGGCCACATTTAGTCAAATATACCCAAAGTAATACAGGTAAAAATGATAAAACAAATTTCTTACTGGTTAAACAACTATTTAAATGATACCATGTATAAAACCATTTACAAACTATATCACTTTTCTGTTTATAAAATAAATAGAATCTATGTTAATATAAAAACCATAATTGTCATGGTAATTATTGCAGATTTACTTACTTGACCGAATGAATCTAATAAAATTTTATTTAAAATACTTTGGAATAACTCTTCGTTATTTAAAAATATGGATGCATAAAATGAAATATCGGAAACTGGTGACTCTAAAAGGGACTTCATTAATTTTTCAACCTCTGCATTATCACTACTATTCTCTGAATCAAATAATATTATAATTTGTTTTGATAATTTGGAGGCAGTTATACTATTTTCATTATTGACACTTTCTTTTCTTTGTGTTGAAGTTGGGTTAGTGGTAGTGGTGGTGGTAGTAATGGTGGTATCCATTTTTATATTAATTATTAGATTATATAAAAACAATATATATAAGAGTTTGGATTGTATTATTATAATTATTATTTATTTTATTATAAAACAATAAATATAGATAATTAAGTGGTGGTATTCTCCAAAAATAACCCCAAAGATGTATTAACACACAATTTACACTTAAAAATGATTAATTTTATAAAAAAAAATAAAATAATAAAATAATTAAAAATTTTGAAAAAAAAAAAATAAAAAAAAATTTTATTTTTTTTTATTTTTTTTTAATTTTTTATAAAATTTTTTTATAATTTTTTTTTTTTAGTTTATCGAAAAAAATCTTTTAACCATTTGTTTGCAAAAACACAAGGTTTCATACATACAAGCACAAATCATATAAAAAATCAAATAAAAGATTCAGTTTCTTCTTTTTTTTTTTTTTTTTTTCAATCATTAATTTTTTTTATATTATAGTGTAATTTTATATGTATTTTTATTTATTGTAAAAAAAAAAATAAAAAAATAAAAAAATAAAAAAGATTTAATTTATAAATCACATTATACACAATACAATATACCCACACATAAACATAGTTTATATTATTTTTATCTTTTACCCACCCAATTAACTTCCCCCATTTCTCACACAATATTTTTTTTTTATTTTTTGTTTTTTTTTTTTAAATAGCTACTCACTATTATCAAAAAAAAATAATAACATATAATAAAATCTATCATATCTCAAATATAGTTTTGTGTGCAAAGTATTTTACAATTAATAATTTTAATATTTTAATAAATTAAATTTTAATTAAAATTTAATTAAAATAATTATCTTTATAAAAAATAAATCATTTACACTCATATAAAAATAATAAATTTGTTGTATCAGTAAATAAAATCTAAAAATAATCACTCAATAAATATATAAAACTATAACAATAATAAAATGAGTGGACTTAATAATAGTGGTAGTGGTTTTTCACCATCCTCATCACCAGGTAACAGTAGCAATGCCAACGTAAAACCAAAAAGTACATCAGCACCAAAAAATGTAGAATTAGGTGTTTTTGGAAGAACTATGGGTGTAGCTAAAATTTCAATGCTTCAAAAAATGGGCAAGGTACGATTATAGTATATTAATAGATTTATAGATAATAGATTTTATAGATATTAATATCAAGATTTTTTTTATAAATATAAATAATTAGGTCGAAACTACACAATCAAATCCACAACTTGTTATTGATAATATGAAAGTTAAGGTATTAAAAGTACTTTATGATGAAACCATTAGATTATCTAAAAAAATGGTTTCAAAATCACAAAAATATATTCAATCATCGACACCATTCCAAGAATCATTACAAGATCTTGCCAACTATTATACAAACGAAAATTCTACTGGTAGATCAATCGAAAATATTTTAAAAATTCATGCTGAAGTCGCATCCTATAGAGAAAAACAAGTAAGTTTTTTTATTATACATTTAATATTTTTTCATTTTAATTTTGCTAATAATTAATTTTTTTTTTAGCAAACCTCTATTACCAATAGATTTGTGTTACCAGCCGATAACTTTTTAAATAATGTTTTGGTTCCAGCAAGAGTAAGTCATAATTTTAAAATATGTAATAATTTTAACTTTTGGTTTAATATCTAATATTAATCTTAAAAAAAATTTAGAAAGCAAAAGATAAATTTAGAGAATCTAGATTAGAATATGATTCAGCATTAGGTAAATTAAAAATGGTACAGCAACAAACAAATATTGATTTAAAACAACTTTATATTGCACAATCACAATTTGCAACCTATAAATTAAGATTCATTCACAGACAATATGAAGCACAATGTAAATTATCCGATACAGTTCAAAGACATGGTTTCGAATATTTAGTTCAATCAATAAATTTATTAGCAACTTTACATGATCTTTATTCAAATACTTGCACTCATTTAAATGAAAATGAACAATTAATTCAAGAGATGAGAGATTACTCTGCAAGCCAAAAGAGACTTTTCCAAGAGCAAAAACAAGATCAACAATTAAAACTTTATGAAATCTCAAGAGAAAAAGAAGAGAATAAATATAATGAATTGGTTCAAGTAAGTCTATACACTTATCTTCAGCATCACCATACTATTATAGTATTGATATTAATTTTTTTTTTATTCATTAGATTTTCTCATCACCAGATTTAGCTGTAGTAAATGCAATTTGTTTATCAGCAGGTAGTGACCAAGAGGCAATTTTAGAAGATTTAGTTAGAATTCTCGATGCTCATAAACAAACATTACCAATTATTAAACTTGGTATTACAAAAGAAGTTCAATCGACATCATCAGCTTCAACATTATTCAGAGGTAATAGTACTGCAACTAAATTGATGACAGCTTTCACCAGAATGACAGGTAGACCATATTTAGTATCAACATTAAAACCAGTTGTAGATAAACTCTTAAAAGATCCATCAGGCTATGAATTAGATCCAGAAAAAACAGCAAACACTGAAGGAAATGTTCAAAGATTAGCTCAAATCTGCCAAGAATTCCTCGAATCTATTTACAACTCTATCGATCAATGTCCATTACCATTCAGAGAAATGGCAAATCATCTTCAAAATGAAGTTGTAAAGATTTTCCCAGAAAGCAAGCATACCTCTGTTGGTGGTTTCATTTTCCTTCGTTTCTTCTGTCCATGTATTTTATCACCAGATACCTGTGGTGTATCTGACTCTGCATCACTTACTATGGAAGCCAGAAGAGCCCTTATTTTAGTATCAAAAACCCTTCAAAATGTAGCCAATGGTGTAGTCTTTGGTTCAAAAGAAACATATATGAAGGATATGAATTCATTCTTAGAAAATAACATGGATAGTTGCAAAGTATTCCTCGATAAAATTTCAGAAATGCCAGCAAACTCTGATTATCAACCATTATCCTCAATTTCCGAAGTTAAAAATAATCAATTACCTTCAATTCATAAACTATTAATTAAAAATTTAGAAAAAATTTTCAAAACCTTAAATCAATACCAACAACAATCTGTCACTTTTTCATTAGTTAGTGCACTTGGTAAACTTGGCGATACCATACAAACCGAATAAATAATAAATAAATAATCAATAATAATCAATAATAAAAAATAATAAATTCCTTATTTTTAAATATTTATAAAATAAATATTTAAAGTTGTAATAGTAAAAAAATAATAAATTATGAAATAAATAAAAAAAAGTATAAATAAATTAGATTAAATAAATTAAAAAAATGATAATTATTTATTTTTTTTTTTTTCACTGTAAAAGTTTTAATTACATATATTTCTTTTCTCTACTTTTTTTATTTTTTTTTGTGTGGTGTGTGAAAAATTGTTTTGAAAAAAAAAAAAAAAAATATATTTGCACACTGACAATTATTATTTACACAATGTAAAAAAAAATCTTGATAAAAAATTAAAGGTATATTTCTCAAATCTCACAAATCATCGATCAATTTCAATGAAGAGCATTAGATCCCCATATTAAATTTTTATAACTAATTGATAAAAAAAATTAGAAAAAAAAAAAAAATTGGAAAAAATAAAAAATAAAAAAAATAATTGGTTAAAAAAAAAATTTTAAATTTTTAAAAAAAATAAAAATAAAAAAAAAAAAACTTAAATAAAATTTTTTTTTCTTACAATCTAACAAATAATTATATTATATAATAATAATAATATATAGTAATAATAATAATAATAATAGTTAATTTATTAAATTTAAAAAATAAAAAATAAAATATTTAAAATAAATTTATATATGTACATAAAATCATTAAACTATTATTTTATATAATTACATAGTTTTAAAATACCATCAAATAATAAAATATAAATATTAATAATAAATAACAATAATAACCATATTAAGAATTTATATTACTCATATATCTCACTACAAAATTCACACCTCATAATCATCATCATCATTATTATTATCGTATCAAAAATACCAAATTACTCATCCCAACTTATCTTTTTATTACTATCATCATCATCATCATCATCATCAAAATAGTTGTAGTTTTAAGCAAAAAATAAATAAATAACAATAATAGTAATATTCTCCTAAATAAACATAAATAACAATAATACTAGAATAGTGGACCACACACACACCCAAATTAATTTATATATATGTATATTTAGAAAAAAATATCTCTATTTATTAGTAAAATAATTTAGTTTATTTTATTTATTTTATTTATTTTAATATTTTATTAAAAAGATTTAAATTTCTTTTTTTTTTTTTCTTTTGTTTTTTTTTTTTTTGCACACAACAATAATAATAGTTATTTATTTATTTATTTATTTATTCAATTTTGTATTTGTATAATATTCCCAAATTTTAAAAAAGAGAAAAAAATAAAAACCATCTTTGAACATTTTCGTGATTTCTATTTTTAAAATTTTTTTTTTATTTTTGGTTTTTTAAAAATAAATATATATATTTATAAATATTCCCATATATAATTTAAATAAAATAATATACATTTATATATTGTTCTTTATTTAATAAAAACACACTAAAACACCCAACACACCCTCACAAAATTTCAAATTCTTGCAAGAGAAGGAACAATTATAACAACCACCTCTTAACACACAAATTAAAAAAAAATATTTACTCAACAACAACTTATACACACAAAGATAACACAATTACATTACCCATATAAATTGTTTTTCAAAAAAAAAAAAACATCACAAACTACCACTATTTATAAATATAAATACATTTGTACAAATATAACTATCAATCAAGAACAACAATAATAAAATTATTTTATTTATTATTTTTTTTTTATTTTATTTATTTTTTAAAATTTAATTTTTTTATTTCAAATTTTATAATAATTAGCAGTAATAATAAATAGATAAAATTGCAATAATAATTATAATAAAATTTTTATATTAATTTTTTAAAATCAAATAAATAAATTGGTATATAAAATAATTAAAGTTATCATTCAAATTAAATCAATATAGTTTTTTAAATAATAATAAAATAGATATTTTTTTTTTAAAATATTTATTATATATTTTTTTTTTATATTTTTTTTTTTACCAATTTCCTCTCCTAAATAAATAAAAAAAAATATATTATATATTTAATAATAGTTAATAATAAATATATAAAATGATAATTCAAGAAATAGTTTGTGTCCACGAACATATAAAGGAGCCTTTGCAAACAATACTTTTGGACTGTAAAGCAACTTTAAATCTGTTAGTTAGAGAAGAGAATTTCCAAAAAGAGTTTGAAAAGTTATTAAATGACAGTAATAGATTCCTTTCAATTATAAACACATTCCTTTCAGCACATATATTCCCAGATGGAGAGATTAAATTAATGATGGATGATAGGGAACAAAATATAACAGAGTATTCGAATACAAAGAAGTTTTATTTACAATGTTTTATTGCAAGTTTTACAAAGTTACGTAAAAATATAGCAAAGTTAATTTACTCAATTAAATCAATGGATATGCAGTACTTGAAGCAAAATCAAACCATTTTCTCATTACTAAAGCATAAATTAAACTATATTATGTTTAATGTTTTGGACTCTGCCAGATATATTATAAAAGTTTCAAGAGCCAATTTAAATGATACTTCGTTTTATTCAAGTAATGATAATGTAACTATATTTTTATTAAAAAAAAAAAAATATTTATTAAATTTAATACTAATTTTTATTTTTTTTTTAATTTAGAATATTAATATTATATCATCAGATTTTTTATTAAAAATGAAGTCATTAACAGAATATTGCTGTGATCCACCAAATGGTCTCAATAGAGTTGATTTTGCCGATTTTAAAAAGAAATATATAGATTCATTTACAACATTTATAGAATTAACAGGTGATTGTTTATTTGATATTTCAAAAGAAACAAAAGCATTAACAGAAACTTCAAATGGTCTATTAGAAGATTTAGGTATATTGTTTGAACTAACACACAGGTCAAATTCAAATACTCATGGTATTGGTGGATTTCATTTAGATATGTTGGCAAAGAGGAGTGAGATTGAAAAGTGGATTGTTGAATTGGTCGATAAGGTTAAAATTGTTATTCCTCAGTTAGTTCAATGTCACAAAAAACAACCATCCGATAATATTTTACCAAATAATATACCCCTTATTGGCGAAGAACCAAATCTTTTAGATGGTGATGATACCAGTAGTGTCGCTTCTTCTTCAGATATTAGTACATATTCAGTTGTAACAAATGGTGTCGGTTGTACAAATGGCAATGGGTTACTTTCTGTTAATGGTGCAAATAGTGGCGAAAATACTCATAGTAACCGTAGTTCAATTATTAGTAATAATGGCAGTAATTTACCAACATCTCTTTCAAATTTAGAAACATTTTTAGATACAAAAGAAAAACCACAACAAGCTCAAATCATTACCACACCAACATTTGTTACATCTACACTTACAAGCAATTCAAACAGTGCCACACCAAGTGTTAGTATTAAAGAATGGGATGCTGATTTACCAAAGATTGTTCTTTCTTTAGATCAAGATGAGGAAGAGGATCAAGATAGTCCAGTGATCTGGTCAATGTCAATTTCACAAGTTTCCTCGGATCCATTTAATAATGAAAAGCAACAACAACAGAAGCAACAAAAACAAGCTCAAGCTCAACAACAATCTGATAAATCTAATGATGAAAAGAAAAAGAAATGGTTTAGAAATCCATTTAAAAAAGAATCACCAAACTCAACACCACCACTTTCCACACAACAAGCATTATCAATTAAAATCCCACCTATTCAAACATCATCGATTTCAGTTTCAACCTCACCCAATTCATCAAATACCTCACCATTATTGACACCAAAATTATCTTCGACAAATGGCGGTAATATCGGTAGCAATGGAGCACCAAATGGTAATGCCATTAATATGAATACAAATGAAATGTCAGTGCCATTACCAAATGTTTTAATCAATCAATTTTGTAATTCAAATAATAACAGTGCTAAATTATTGGAAATTTTAGAAAACATAATCGATGAATACGATATTGAAGCACAGGAATTAGAATACTTTAATAATGTCCCAGTTGGTTTACAGGGTAAAGTTGAAGATAAATCAGTAGAAATGTTCGATTTAAATCAAATACTTTTTAAAGACTATGTTATTGAAGGAGATGGTCATAAATCAAAAAGATTTACCAATAAGCTTTCAATCGAATTTGATCATAATGAAAAACATATAGCACATTATCATTCTTGGTATCAGCAAGAGCATTATAACTATTTAGGTTTTATTCCAGAATTTGGTGGTAACATAGTTATATCAATTAAAAAAGAACCAGATAATATTTGTAACAATAGTAATAATAGTAATTGTAATAATAGTCATAATTTAACAGTATCAAGCTCATCAGTTTCATCAAACAACTCAACATTGTCCAATGGTTCATCATCAAATCGTTATCATAAAGTAATAATTAGAACTAAAAATGGCACAGAGAGATTGGTTATTAAATCATCCAGCAACAAAGAGTCTGATTTAATAAAATCGGTTATCAATTATTTGAAGGTCATCGTCAAAATCTCTTCATCATCATTAAAAATCAACAAATCAGATTGTTTAGTTCAAAACCTATTACAGTTTGAACTTGAAAATCTTAAAAGAGATTACAGTTTCTTTGTCGCATTCCAAGGTGAGGGTCAGAACACCGAATCTCAAATCCTCTCAAATGAACATGTCAGCAGAGAATTTACAGATTTCTATCGTTTCTTGGGTAAACAAGTGCCACTTAAAAATTGGAAAAAATTTGCTGGTGAATTAGATACCTCCCTACATTCATTAGATGGCCAATCAGTTATTTACAATCAAGTTAATGAAATTGAGGTTGTATTTAAAATTTCTCATATGTTATCATCATTTGAAAAACGTAAAGAAATTTTAAATAAATCTCAAATTATTATAGTTTATCACGAAGGCAAACAACCATTTAATCCAAATACTTTTAATTTACAAAATAATCGTAGGTTATTTATTATTTATAATTTATAATTTATTATTGTTTTTATTATTTACTAATATTTTTAATTTTATTTAGAAACTTTAATTGTTATTAAAAAAGTTAAAGGGGAAGATGAAAATAATATTTATTATAAACTTGGCGTTTTATATAATAATAATATGGCACCATTCACACCAATGATTCCAGAAGGTTCAATATTTAAAAAAGATTCTCAATTTTTACATTATTTTATTACAAAATGTATTAACGCACAAAATTCTTATTTATCATCCCAGTTAAATCAAACCCAAATTCAAAAAAGAGAGTATCGATTAAATGAAATTTGTTCAAAAAAAAAGTAAATAATACTAAAGATATTATTTAATATTTAATAAAAAAAAAAATAATTATTGTTATTTTTAAATTATTTATTTATAAAAATAAAAAAAGTAATTACTTCCCTATTTTAATTCTTTTTAATCAAATGTATCGATTGGATACAAATAGAAACCAATTATAAATAATTTTTTGTATTTATTTTTGGTTAAAAGATATTTTTTGATTTATTATAACCAATATTGTTTAACTATTTATAATAATAACATAATAAACAAAATCATTTAAATCCAAAATACCATTTTTTAAGTAAAAAAATATAAATTTTATGAAATTTTTTTTTTTTTTATCATAAAATTTATATTTTTTTATTTTAAAATTTATTTTAAAAATGTCAAAGGTAAAAACTTTAACATTAGGTATGGGATATAAAAAATATTATTTTGCTCACATTTATAAATTAACTAAATTAATTCATTTATTAAATATCAGCTTTTGCTTTAATCTTCTTGGTTTTATTATGTTACCAAGTTTTAACAGGGACAGGATCTGGTGTCACCTATAGGGAGATACCTTGCAGCGAAATAGAAGGAATGGCAATAAGAGTGTTTGGAAATAGTGCTGATGATTTTGGTATTTGTCGATGTGTTAGGAGTACAGAAAGAAAGGTTGTACGTTTTTTATATTTTATAATCCATCTTGTAAGTTTAACTATTTTCTTTTAAAATTTTTTTATGTTGTATTAATATTTTTTTTTTTTAGAATATAAGCGTTTTTGCATTTATTTCAATTTTGTTTAAACAATCAAAAATAAATTTAATTTTAATGGCTGGATTTGCATGTGAACGTGCTCTTGGTTTTTACACTTTTGATGATAAAATTATAAATGATTATAATTTTGTATGAAATTTTTTTTTTAATTTTTTTTTAAATAAAATTAATTTAAAAATTATAAAATCGAAGAAAAAAAAAAAAATAAAAAAAAACATTAAAATAAAACTGTAAAAAAAAAACTATTTTATTTAGAAATATTATTTTCTAGGTATTAATAAACAGGATGATCGCAACGATCAAATATTTTTCTATGGTAGTTGAGATATGGTTTCCTATAGCTTATATTACCATAGGCCGAAGATAATGATGATGGTTCACCATTGAAAATATAATAAATTGATGCAATTAAAACATATTTATATTTTTCAAATTAGGTAGTAGATAAAATCATCTTTTTCTAATGTTGATGGTCTATCAGCCAAATTATTATCTAAATTTTCGAACACCCACAACCGATGGGTCCACATTAATCTATACATTTCAAGTATTTTCTATTTCCAGAAATATAATATTTTAGCAATATTGCCTAGTTTTAGGAAATTCTGCATCAGCAACTAAAAATTCTGCATCCATAGATAAATATAAATTTTTAAGTTTTCCCCACAAAGAAAGTAAATCCTCAAAACTTAAGCCAACAATTTTTTTATGCAAGCTTTCACTATAAGTTCAATAGTTACTGATAAAATAAAAATTGGTTTAAATAGAAACATATGAGGTAAATTACATTTATTTATTATTTGTAATTACCTATTGGTGCAGAGCCCCCCTATATTATTTGCTCCTCTCCTAACAGTAATCCACCTCTTTCTCCGCCTCTTCTTCTTCCTCCACCTCTAGTAACACCACTTCCAGCAGTCATTTCTACCTCCTCTTTTTTACAATCCATGAAAACATAAATTGAGTTTGTATCTATATTTGTTATATTTGAAAGAGAATTAATTCCAGCTATTTTAAATACCTCTTGAAATAAACGAGTGAATTTATTAATTTGTCTGTATTTCCAATATGATTATTTAAAACAATTGATAATTTACACCAACTAGTGGTAATCCACCAAAATAGTAAAATTTGTAATTTTACAAAATTTTAAGAAAAATAAAAAACATTAAAAATTTTATTTAAATAAAAAACAAAAAAATCAAAAAAAAATATTTTAATACGAAACTATCCTAAAAAAAAATAAAATAAAAATATTCAACCAAATTCACTCATTTTTTTAAGTGAATTTTTTTTGGAGACCAACTGCTACATTTTCAAGTTTAAAATTTTTTTTTTTTTATAAATGCTATAAATAATATTTTTTTTTTATGGTGAGACATTAATTTTAAAAGATAAAATGAAATTATTTTTAATTTTAATTTTATCTTTATTAGGTTTGGTAAACTCACAATCATACTATGCATTATGGAATAATCCACAAAATGAATATCCAAATGCTTTTATTGGTGTAGTAGAATTATCAACAAACACAATTAAACAGCTATCTTCGATACCAAGTTGCCAACATATTGCCTCAATGTCTACATACAATGAAGTTTTAAATACTGCTTTCTTTTTAGTTACCTCAAATGTATTTATTATTTACTAATATTAAAATTAATATTTTATTAATTTTTTTTTTTTAGACTATTTAAGATGAAAAGTTGCTCTATTTATTTAATTTCGGTTCTTTACAACTTGTTTTAGTAGGATCTTATAAAACAGATGATCAAGATATTTTATCCATCCAATCATTACAAACCAATGATGAAAAAGATCTTTTAGTAGTTTATTCCTCACAAGGTTTATATTCAATGGGTTACGTCGATCTTGTTAGTGGTAATACTCAATTACTTTTATCTCTTCCAGGTACATTTTTAACTCTTTCATTTGGTAATAATATGATCTCAATACTCATTGAAGAAAATGGAATAGACTATTTCTATACTCTTTCACCAGCAAACAATACCATTACCAGCAAAAACCAATTGTATTGGAAAAGAAACCCAGAGAATAATCCATACGCTTTAACATTTATCAATACTTTTGCATCATTCTTTTTCTTTGAAAACTTTTCAAATGAATCTGTTTATTTAATGCAAGTAAATTACAGTACAAATCTTGTTCAACTAAGTCCATTTTGGTCACCTCAATTGGACATCTCAAAAGTTTGGTCTATTGCAGGTGATACAGTTAATAAATTATTTTATGTTATAACCAGCGATAGCCAAGGCACGACCTATTTAAATAAATTCGTCCAAACTGGATACTTCAACCAAGTTACCTTTCCAGTAAATGTAACAAACTTTTGGTCACTTTAAAAATAAAAAAATTTATTTAATAAAACTACAATGGTTTGTAAAAAAAATTTTTTTGTTTATTATTTGTAAATTTATTGTTTTTTTTAAAATCTATCTATTAGTTTTTTATAAATATTTGAGTCTTTGCTAACAATTCTTTTTAAATCGTATTTGTCTATTGTTCTTTCAAAGCTTTTTAATATTATTTCTACCAAATCGAAATTTTGTAACTTCAATGCTCTTTCTAAAAATATGTCAAAATCGTTTTTTTTAAATCCCAAATTATAAAAGATGGTATCTTTATATTTTGAAACTAGGTGTAAAAGTAATGGTGCGTTACCATATTCGAATATTAATTTGGAAAAATTGTCTTTAAAAGTTGATACAAAGAATGAGTCACCAGGTATAGTTTGCATATAAGCTTTTAGTACTAGGTCTATTAATTCTACATTAACTTGAAATGATGGAATTGCATTGATAAGTTGGTCGAATTTCAAAACATCCATTTTGAATATTTCATTATAGTTGCCGGTTTGAATATAAATACTTAGCAAATCTTTTGTACTTAAAAAAATTTCTACTGTACCATTATCAGTATAAACCTGTAAATTGTAAAATCTTTCGGTTGTATAAAGATAATTTTTATCTGGTTTTAATTCTATTAAGTTTTCTAAAATCCAATATCCAATTCTATTTAACTTTGGGTAAGCCTTACTTACTGTACGATATATTTTTGTTATTTTATCTAAACTGAACCTTGTACCGAATCTATTTGATCTTATTAACGAAATGATTGTATCCTGCTTGCTTTTTTCTAAATAATATGAAAAGACGTTAACCAAAGGAGTGATATCTATTTGTGTTGGAAAAGAGTAAAGCTCTGGTTTATTCATTGCCCTTAATAAAAGATCTAATGAGTTTTTGAAATCCAAAGAGTCGTAACCAAAAGGATTGCAATCTCTTGTAACCATAGAAAAGGTTCTTTTCAAGCTTGTCATAAGTTTTTCGTAGTGTTCTATTATTGGAGTTTCTGTGACATAAAACCAATAGCTGTTACCTGGTGAAAATAATAAATTTTGATGTTTTTCGAAAAAATAATCTAAAATTTGAGTGGATTTGATTGATTGAATTATTTGAGGGGCATAGTGTGCGAGCAGAGTAGAGTTTGGTTGGAGCAAGACATCGATGAAATTGATATTATTTGTTTCAAAAATTGTTTTAAATATTGTTTTCATTAAACAACCATTTTTAAATTTATTTAATACAATATTAAAATGATTTGAAAAGATTGATGGATCGATATTATTGAATTTACCAAATTTTAAAAAACTGCACATTGATTTAATTACAATATTATAATCGATATAATTGAGGAAAAATAATTCTGAGAGTTTGTTGAAAATTACTTCCTTTTCTTCAAATAATAAATAGTAGTCGAGTGGAATTTTGGTATCTACGCTTTGCAAATCCTTTAATAAAATGTTTAGGTTTTTTAAAATTAAAATTTTAATTGCGTCCATGTGTCTATTAGATGGTCTGTTATTAATTAGTGATGATTGGGTATCTAATAATTGATTAATAGTTGAACTTAATTGATCTTTTGTAAAATTGTTTGGATTTGTAATTTCATTAATTGTATTTTGATCGATACTTCTTTGGCTTAAACTAATTTTTTTCACCATTTTTAATATATGCTTTAATTTGATAGAGTCAGCAAAAGGGTTAAAGTCATGAAATCTAAAGTTTGCATAATGGCCTTTTTTAAGTAGATGATTTATCATTTTGAAAGATTGGTAATTTGTAATTGGTGGTATGTAAACGGGGTCTATTTCGACAGGATTTAAAACATTAAATGCTAATATATTATGTGCTTCGATGATTTTTGTAGATAATTCTTTACTGCTAAAATAATTTGAATAATTTTCAAAAAGCTTTTGATAAAAATTTCTATTGTATTCGTTATCCTCTTGAATGTGTCGAAAAATTAAACCAAAACCATGCTGTTGGTCTAAACTCTCATTACCAAATGATAAATAGCTACCAGATTTCACTTTATCCATAATAATTTCACTTGCATTTGGGAAGTCTCTGTAAATAATTGGCACACAGAAATTCACATCATATGTATGATTTTTTTTGGAAATTAAAAATGAAAAAACTTTTTTATTTAAATACACATTTCTAAAAATTCTCCAAAATAATATTTCTAAAGGTTCCATTTCTTTATTTAACTGATCACTATTTAAATTCATCTCTTTAAAGCTACTTATAATATCTTTATCATTTTTTATAAAATTGTTAAAGCTATTTATATAATTATTGTTATGTATTCTTTCTATATTTTTTAACCTCTTTAATTTCTTGTCACTCTCATTGTCACTTTCGCCTTCGCTCCCACTATCATTTTCTAACATGGTTTTCTTTTGTTCATCCATTTGTTGAATGATATTATAGTCTAATGCACTATCGTCATTTCTGTAATATCTTATTGATTTTTGTAAACGTCTTTTGTTACGCATTGTGGAGCTGAATGATTATTTGTTTTGCAAATAATTATAGTTAGTAATGTCGAAATTATTTTTTTAAAATACTCCATATTTTTTTATAAAAAAAAATAAAATAATAAAAAAAAATTAAAAAAATAAAAAAAATTGAAAATTAGATATTTTTTTTTTTTATGATAACACAAATATCTGAATGATTTTTTTATTAATATTTCAGGTGAATTTTTTTATCTAATTAGCAATCCAAATATTAACTGGTAAAACTTTAATTGGATAACTGTATAAAAATTTGGATTGAGAGTCAAAAACATTTAAAAGAGAATTGCCTACATAATTACTATGAACAATTGAGACAGCTTGGAAAAATCTTTGGTCATTTGGGTTTGCAAAATTTGTACTAACCATAGCATATGCCACTGTGGTTTGGAAAATATATTGAGGACCAAGAATAACTTGGATAATATTACTATTTTTCAATGTAAAGATCGATGGTGTGCCGTCGACATCCATTGAAAAATAAAAATTATCATAGCTTTCTAAATAAACCAAATCATATGGGTAACTTGAAATATTTAAAGAATTTTGGCTTGGGAATTTAAGGTTAACAGTTCCTTGTTTACTTTTTCCATCACTTGAAAATACATTGAGAGTATTGACATTATTTACAACAGAGAGAGTATAGTATTGGTTTGTTTTACCAACGAATGCAGCAGCACAAAAAATACCTTGTAAATTGTTTTCTAATTCGATAGTGTTAGTATTTTCATTAAGTTTACCAATTGCTGTATTTCCATTGCTAGTTTTAACAACAAATAACAAATCATCCCCGATTGTACTATTTGATGATACTATTGAATATACCTCTGGAGTTTGAGAAAAATCTACTGGAACTTGGACTAAATTAAGACTGTTTATATCAAATTGATATAAAGACATTTTACTTGACTTTAAAAAAAATTAATTATTAAATACATATATTTAAAATTATAATTATTAAATTAATTATAATTACTTACATTATTGTATACTAAGAATGAAATCATATTAGTGTTACTGTTGAATGTTGAATATTGATTTGTATTATAATGTTGGTAGCCGCTAAGGGTGTATAAAACTTTAGATTCGCCTGTTGGTAAATTAAACAAACCAATTATTGCTTCTCCTTTTTCATTCCATAAAGCATAGGATGGATAGGTAGCTACATGGCTAAGTACTTGACTTAATGATAAAATAAATGATAATAATAATAGAATAAACTTCATTATATGTTTTTAATATAAATTTAAAAATATGAATATATAAAAAAATATATTTTTTTAAATTTATATTTTTTTTTTCGAATTTTTTTTTTTTTGGTATTCAAAAAAAATATCCTAAATATCTTATTGATTCTAAAGAAATTTCTGTTTTTTTTTTACAAATAGAAAACCTTTCGCAAAACCCACCATTGAGTCATATCATTTTCTCAAAGAATGGAATCGTCAAATTTAAGAAATTGTATTTTATGCTCAAAACAAAAAAAGAAAATAATTGAAGATTTTGAATTTTAATATAATATTGTCTAATTAATAGTGATTAAAAATTTTCATTAGTTTCAATTTTTACCAATTATCTTTAGGGTATTCACTTTAGAAAAAATTATTTTTTATTTATTTTTATTCATTTTATAAAATTTAACTGTTGATGTAAAATAACAGCATAATAATTTTTTTAAAATTTTTTTAATTAAATTTTTTTTTTATTTTGATTATTCAAAAGAAATTTTTTTTTGGTATTCAAAAAATAATATCCTAAATATCTTGATGACTCAAAAAATTTCTGTTTTTTTTTTTTTTTTATAAAAAGAATCAATAACCTTCGCAATACCACTGAGTCATTGAAACGTTAAAAAATGGAATCCTATATGTTGTTCTTAACAAAAAAACATCTCTTAAATAATCAAGTCCTAAAATACTTAAAATTTCATATTTTTTTTTTTTTTAATTATTTTATTAAAAAAATAAATAAGAATTTCAATAAAAAATAAATATTAAAAACTTTATCGAAATATAAAACAAAAAAATAAAAAAAATAAATTTCATACAAAACTATCTGACATAATTTTATCTGATTTTTGTTGAAAATATAGTTCTTACATTTATTCAATTATTCCTTTGTGCATTAAAAATGGGCTATAATATTAAAAATTGAGGGTTAGAAAAAATGTACCATAACACAAAAAAAAAAATTAAAAAGTGGGCTGCGCTGTTATCTATTTATAATTCTTTCTTTAAATGGATGTTGCATAAAATAATGAATTCATATCATTGAACTTTATTTATGGATATCCAATATCTTTATATCTTGCCTTGATCATTTTATAAAAAAAATCTTACCTTTGTGTATAACCTAAATATTTAAAATAAAAAGAAAAAAGGAAGTTTTATATTTTAAATATTTTTTTATTTTTTATTTATTTTTTGTTGTATTTATTATTATATTGTCATTATTAATTTGAAGTTGATTCAGCAGATTTAAAATTAATGAATGGATTCCATAAACCTTGTATACTTTCAGTCTTTTTAACATATCTATCTCCAAATTTTCTAGGTCTTTCACCTGATGTATCTCTAAGATTTTCCATATGTTTAACAACTTTATCTTCTTCTCTGCCTCTTAATGGTACAAATTTAGTAACACCTGATTCTACAATTTGTAAATTAAAATTATAAAAATTAGAAACCTGTTTATGAAGTGCCATTTAGATGTTTATTATTATTATCATTATCGTAATTATTATTATAATTAAACTATTATTATTATTATTATTATTATTATAATTAAACTATTATTATTATTATTATTATTATTATAATTAATCTATTATTATTATTATTATTATTATTATTATTTATTACCACTATTATTGTTTAAAAAGTAATCCAAAAATGATATTTTTTTAACTGATACTATTTATAAATAAAATATTATTATATTTATGATATTGGTGTCGATTTAAAATTTTATTTTATCTTCTCTTTATTATTATTTTAATTTTTAATTTGATAATAATCCAAAATAATATTACCATAAGTTGCTAATAAAGATGGATGACCACCACGAACAACTGATTCTTCAACTTGGATTTGTGGGTTTAATTCTTTAAATTGTTTGATTGATGAACCTAAAATATTTCTATATTATTATTATTATTATTATAATTATTAATTATTGATTGGTATAATATATATATTAATTAATAACAATTCTATTTTTTTTAATGATATTTATAAATCCTTTTATTTCAACACTTTATAAAAACCAATTCCAAAAGATGTTGCTGTTGAGAAAAATCATATGCTTAAAATAACTTACCTAACATATTTACTGCTACCTGAAAATTCGCAATAGTTAATAACAAGTTTTTTTAATTGCCAAACACCGTTCTTTGACATCTTTATATATATATTTATATTAAAACAAATAAAAAAGAAAAAAAATCGTACTACTATGAATTTTAAAAAAAAATTAATTTTTTTTTTAAAAAAATGAAAAAAAAAATTAAAATTATTTTTTTTAAAAATTTTTTTTTTTTTTTTTTTTTTTTTCGTTTTTCATCAATTTTTTTTATTTTATATATTTTTCATTTTTTGTGTATTACTTATATGAAAATATAAAACAACCAAAATGATTAGTAATCTTTGCAAATCATTTAATAAAATTAATATTAGTACCTCAACTTCATTAATTCAATCCTCAAGAGTATGCAGACACACACATAATCACACATATAATATATTCACACTATGCTATTTACAGTTTATAAATTAATCATTAATCAAACTATTATATCATACATTACTATTACACCGATTATTGCTATTATCAAAATATTTATTAATTTATTATTATATTATTTTTTAGATTATTGGATTTAATAAAATTAATTATACAACATCAACCAATGAACTTTTAAAAGAAGAAATTGAATTCCCAATTATAGATTTTGATAGTAAATCAAATGTTGGTACAATTCAATTATCAAAAGATATATTTTCAAGACCATTAAGAATCGATTTATTACACAGAATGGTTAGATATCAAAGAGCAAAATCACAACAAGGTACTCATCAAGCATTAAATATGGAAAGAAAGACAAGTTCAAACAAAAAACCATTTAAACAAAAGGGTACAGGTAGAGCTAGACAAGGTACAAACCATGCTGTACAAATGAAAGGTGGTGCTAGAGCTTTCCCACCAACATCACGTTCACATGCTCACGATCTTCCAAAAAAAGTAAGACAACTCTGTCTCAAAGTAGCACTCTCAAGCAAATTAGCTCAAAATAAATTAATCATTATCGACGAATTCAAATTATCTTCACATAAAACAAAAGATTTAGTTTCAAAGTTACCACAAGAATGGGGTCGTTCATTATTAGTTGACAAAGATATTTCTGAAAACTTAAATAGATCAAGTTTAAATGTCCAAAAAATTGATACTCTTCCAGAAAGAGGTTTAAATGTATATAGTATTCTTCAAAATGATACTTTAGTTTTAACTAGATCATCAATTGAAGCTTTACAATCAAGATTATTAAAATCATCATCATCAGACGAAAATTAAAAAATTATATAATAAAAGTAAAAATAATAAAAGTAAAATAAAAAAAAAATAAAAAAAAAAAAAAGAAATATTAATTTATAATTTTTTTTTTATTAATTTATACAAATTATTTTAATAATTTTTTATTTAATATTTATTATTGGTTAGTTATCATTATTGGGTAATATTATGATCTTTGATGATATTTTAAAATTAAAACCTGGGTTATTTGAATTATTTGTTGATATAGATGATTTTGGTTTGGAGGTATTTGACTCTATATAGCCTATGCCCATAGTCTCGGTAGAATGGGCCCATAAAAACTCTATTTCCATATTATTATTTACATTTTCTTTTTTTAAAGTTATTATTCCACCCAATCTACCCTCACCATTAAAATTGGATATAATATTATTATTATCATAACTTTCCTCTTCAGATTCTTCATTATCCGAATGTTCATTTTCTGAATTATTATTATTATTATTATTATTATTATTGTTGCTATTGAACTTATTTATTAAAATTTCATTTATATATGAAAAACAATCATTGTGTGATAAAAAGTTATCTTCGAAAAATTCTTTGACTGCGCTATCAATATATTTTCTCTTTAATATTTTTAAACAACATTCTTTTGAAATTAAAGCCTTGGTCAATTGCTCTCCTACACCTGTTGCTGATGCTGCTACACCTGGTAGTTTAAATCCGTTAACATTTAATTCATTCTGTGCCCAACAACCTGCTCCATAAATTGCAGCCTCCCCTACTCTACCTGGATGTTTTAACAATATACCGCCACTTGAAACACCACTCGAAATTAATCCATTCCAATCCACCGAAATTGCTCCGACTGTATCATATAATTGATTGGTATCTTCTTCTACCTGCTCCTCTTCATAGTATTCATTTTCGTAGTTATTATTATTATTATTGTTGTTATTACTATTATTGTAACATTGATTGTTTTTATTATATTTATAATCTTCTAATTTTGATTTATATTTCATCCAATTAATATTTGCCTGTTGTGTTATTAATGGGTCACCCAAAATTGAATTGTTTTTATCAAATGTTTCGATATTATGATTTTGTGCCCATAATTTTGCACCCTCACCTGAAAGCATGCTATATAATTTTAATTTTAATCATAAGTAAAATAAAACTATATTAATAATTAATAGAATTGTAATAATTACATTGGCCTTTGTCTTCCTAAAGATTTAGTTGAACCATTTAGTTTTTGCTTTCTTAATAATTCGCAAGTTAATTTAATTGGATTTTTAACACCACTAACAGCACCTACACCCGACCATATACCACCACCACAAACTCTATTTAATTTATTATTTTTATCGGTATTATTATTATTATTATTATTATTATTATTATTATTATTATTATTATTAAAACAATTATTATTGCAACTACAAATCAATTCACCACTCATAATACTGGCATCACATTCAACCTCACCATCTATATTTAAATTTGAACCTATACCAGCATTAGTTAGTGGGTCATCTTCTAAAAATGAAATAACAGTTTCAACTGCCCATATTGAATCTAAACCATTAAGTTTTAATAAATTATTTATATAACTACTATCAATGTTATTATTATTACTATTATTATTGTAATCATTATTATTTATTAAATAGTATATTTTGTCATATAATAATGTTAATGTTTTTAAAAGTGCATTATTTATTGTTTCTTTATATGATTTTCTTAATTTAACCGAGTGGTATCCAGCACCAATATGTATTCCTATAAATATGGGATATTTTTTTTTTAACTCTTCAATGGTTAAAAATGCATTATTATTATTTTTAATATTATTTTTAATATTAATATTATTAGTGTTGCTGTTATAATTATTAGGGGTTTTAATATAGTTATCAGCGTTGTTGCTTTTTTTTTCCATTTTTATTTTTTTTGTTAATTTTGATATTTTTTATTTTTTTATTTATTTTATTTTTATTTTTTATTTATTTTTTATTTTTGAAAAAAAAAAAAAAAAAAAAAAAAAAAAAAATTTCCATTTTTTTTTTTAATTTTTTGATTTTTTTTTTTTTTTTTCTTCAAATTTTTTTTTTTAAATAAAACTAAATTTACAAATAAAGCAATGTCACAAAAGACTAAATATAATTTAAATGAATTAGTTTCAACAAATAATAAATTAAATCTTCCATCAGCTCCAAGATCAAGCATGGACGGTGAAGAACAACAACAAGGTAGTGGTGGTTATAACAATTACAGACAACAAAGATCCTATGGCAGTTCATACTCATCACAATCCAACTCATTCTCACAATCCTCACCACAAGGAGGTGATAAAAAACCAACTGAAGATGACTTCCCAGCTTTAGGTCAAGAAAAAAAACCAAGACAACCAAGACAACAATCCTCCCCACAAGACTCACGTAACGATCCATTTGGAGGTGCCAGACCAGCTTCAGATGTATGTATAATAATAATAGTTATTTTAAAACAAAAAAAAAATCAAATAATTTATTTTTACCATTCTAAATAATTAAATATTAACAAAATTTTATTTCGTTTTTTTTTTTTTTTTTTTTTTTTTTTAATTATTATTTTCTAAATTATTTATTTATTAGGCCCCAAGAGAGAATCGTGATTCACCATCATCAAGAGACTCTGGTGAAAGAGAAAATAGAGGTGAAGAAGAAAGAGATGAAAGACGTGACCAATATGGTGACAACAAACGTGAAGGTGGTTTTGGCGGTAGCAGATATGGTCGTGAAGACAGAGATGAAGATAGAGAAGAAAGACGTGACCAATATGGTGACAATAGACGTGAAGGTGGTTATGGTGGTTACAATAACAGAGGTGGTTACAACAGCGAACGTCGTGAAGGTGGTTATGGTGGTTACAACAACAACAGAGGTGGTTACAATCGTGAAGGTGGTTACAATAGCGAACGTCGTGAAGGTGGTTATGGTGGTGAAAGACGTGAAGGTGGTTATAATAGCGAAAGAAGAGACGATCGTTTCAGCAATGGCGTTTCCCCATTCAATTTCAGAAAACAAAATGACAACAACAGACGTGAAGGTGGTTATGGTGGCGAAAGACGTGAAGGTGGTTACGGTGGTGAAAGACGTGAAGGTGGTTTTGGTGGCGAAAGACGTGAGGGTGGCTACGGTGGTGAAAGACGTGAAGGTGGCTATGGCGGTGAAAGACGTGAAGGTGGCTTCCAAAGACGTGATTTCAACAACGGTGAACGTCGTGAAAACAGAGGTGACTACACCACCCAAACCAGAGATCAAGGTAGATCATTCTCATCAAAGGTAGATGCCGTCGATGACTGGAGAAACCCATCAGAAGATATTACTACTAATGCTTTCAATAAACAACCAAGAAAACCACAAGGCAGCTATGGTGGCGAAAGACGTGAAGGTGGTTATGGTGGTGAAAGACGTGAAGGTGGTTATGGTGGTGAAAAACGTGAAGGTGGCTATGGTGGTGACAGAAATTAAACAAATTTATTTATTTTAGACATCAAACAACAAACAACAACAACAATAATAATAATATTAATAACCGATAAAATTTCCAACCCAATAATAATCATAAATAATAGCAACAAAAGAAAACTATAATATTTAAAAAAAAAAAATATATATTTAAATATTGAAAAAAAAAAATAAAAAAGAAAAAAATAAAAAAAAATAAATCTATCTTTGTGTTAATATATATAAAAAAAAAAAGTAATAAATAAATTATTTATAAATATTTTTTTTAATTACAATTATTTGTGTTTTTTTTTTCTTATTTATAGGATTATCATTTGTTGTTTTATTTTTGTTTTTTTTTTTTTTTATCCATAGTTTTACTATAGTTTATTTATATATTATTTATTTATTTTTATTTAGTCTTGGTGAATTGAACCAAATTTATTTTCCATTTCTTGAACTTTCTTTACACTGTTGGTATCACCTCTAATTACATCAAAATCTTTTTGGGTGATTGGAGCATTAGTTGGTGGTTTATAATCAGCATGTGGGAGGAAAGCTTTTTGTAATAATTCATAAGATACAAGGGTGACACCAAATTGTGGGGAACTTCTGAAAACACGAGCTAAAGCACCTTTGAAGAGAGCTCTTGGACCTTCTTCTTTGAGGATCTTTTGGAAACAATCACGAATACCAGTGTAAGTTTGTTCACCTTCTTTTGCTACTACTTGAAGTCTAGTTTTGATAACATCAGCTGGAGTGACAAGTGATGCAGCAGGGATACCAGCAACGGCACCAGCCAATAAGAGATCCATTGGACCTAATTTACCATTTTCATCAGCTAAAATAGTTTTCATTTTAGCGTAGGTTGGGAAATAAATAGCAGAGAATGGAATATCTCTTAAAAGACAAGCACCAGCACCTTTATAGAGACCTGAAATACCTAATTCTCTAATGATTGAAGCAGCACTAGCTTTTGGACCAGTGGTGTGAACTTGAAGACGAATTTTAACAATTTCTAATGGATTAGTAACGCAAACTTGTGACATACCAGCGAAACCACCAGCTAAAACTTCGAGTGGGAAATAGATTTCACCTTTACTTTTATCGCCAAATAAATCTCTAAGTAAATCGTTAACTGTTAATTTAATAGCTTTTTCTGGTGCAACACCAACCATTTGTGGTAAAATACCTTTATAGAGACCTGCAACACCTTCACCTTTAACTACTTTTCTGAAACAATCCCAACTGTTTGCATAAATACGTTTTGAAACATCAACTGCTCTTTGATTTTGCATTCTAGTCTTTACAAGATCAATTGGATAAACTGCAGCAGCACCAATACCACCTGCAATTGAACCTAAAGCAAAGTTTTCAATTGATTCTAACATTTGTTGAACAAATGTTTTTTTGGCTTTTTCGGTTGAAATAGCTTGATGAGCAGCAACTGCAGCTGCACCAGTAATTTTTGAAACATTAACAATATTATTTGAATTTGGATAAGCATCTGAAGTATTTGCAATCTTATTAATTGAATAACCAGTAGCTTTTTCAAAATCTTCAACATTTAATTTACCGTCTAAAAAATAAAATATGAATTAGTTTATTGTTATAATTTTAAAAAACTATATCTTGATATGCATGTATGTGTATTACCTTTATTAGTATCAAAGAGATGGAAAATTAAATCAACTTCCATTGGTGTGATTTCAATTGATGTTGATGATCTAGCTTCAGTTAAAAATTCTTCTTTATTAATATTATCTCTATTTAATTTAGTAATAGCAGCTAATTTTTTAAAAATAAAAAAAATTAATATTATTAATATTATTATTGATTGTATAATTAGAAAAATAAATTACCTTTTAAAACTCTGCCGTATGATGGAATATGTAATAACATATCGTTAGTAGCAACAAATTGTGAATAACTAACTTCATTTGAATGACCAGAATTTACGTTTAATTCAGAGATTGTTTCTAATTTATCTTTGACTTGATCTGGAATCTTTCTTAATTTTACAGAGCTTAAAACTTTAGCAAACTTGTCACGTGGAATATAACCAGTGTTTGATTTATCGTGGAATTTAAACTCTTGTTTAATACGTTCTTGTTGAAGATCTTTTAAGAGTTGAGTGAATTGAGAGTAGTTTAATTCGGTCTTACCATCACCAAAATATAAGTTTACTAATTCACAATCAAAGTTGAAGGGGATAGTTGGGTCTAAACTTGCACTGACGACATGTTTGAAATCGTCTCTTGAAATATAACCATTACCATCACGATCGAATAATTTGAAAGCTAAAAAGTATTCAGCTTCTGGTTTTGCCATTAATTCATCAAACATAACATATTCTTCAAAACTAATATAACCAGTATGATCGACATCTGCCATTTGGAATAATACTTTAAATTTGTCAGCATCTAATGAAGCTTTTAAAATTTCGTGATCGCCACTATCAGTTTCTAATGTTGTTAATGCTTTTAAAAAATCTTCTGCTGTCATTTGTCTTTTGCCTTCTAATGTCTAAATATAGAATGTGTGAATGTTTATATTGATTATGAGGATAAAAAGAAAATTTTAATTAGATTATTGATCTTCACATATATCGGGTTATATTAACTATTGAGTCGGTTAATTATTTTAATACCATAATTACATACAGTTGAGGCATATTTATCGAAAGTTTGCTTTTGTCTTTTAACAAGAGGTGAATCTTCATTAATTTTTTTTTCGTCCAATAAAGTTGAAGTTGTTAATAAAGTTGCGCTTACAATAGTTGTTCCGACTATAACTTTTTTATAAAATGATGATCTTTGATTTGATTGTTCTTGTTGTTGTTGTTTACCGCCATTTGATCTTGATCTATTTGAAAAGAATCTTCTAGTTGATCCAGAACTATATATTCTATTAACTTGTCTAAGTTTACTTGAAAACATTTTTAATTTCTTTGTTTTTTTGTCTCGAAATTTAGATTAAAAAAAAAAAAAAAAAACTAAAAAATATTTAGTGGGAATAACAATAAATATAATTTAATGAAAAAAAGTTTAAATTATAAAATTATTCAAAGGAAATGAAAAAAAAAAAAAAAATATAAATTATAATACAACAATTAAAAAAAAAAAAAAAATCAAAAAAAAGAAATGGGTATGTGTCTTTAAAAAAACTATTTTTTTTTTTATAAAATTAAAAAAAAAAAATTTGAAAAAAAAAAAATTTTAAAAAAAAATTAAAATTTTTTTTTTTTTTTTAAATATTGAGCGATGTATTTCTCTATATGGAAAATGAATGATGAAAAAATATATATACATAAAAATTTTCAAAATATCTTTATCGTTTTTCATTACAATTATTTTATTGTTTTTTTTTAATATATACTTATCGAAAAATATATTCAGTGTTTATACCCAACCAACACCAACACCCCTAGTGTGGTAAAATTTTATTTCGTGTGTATATCAAATGATAGAAACACAATAGTAACAACAAACCATTTTGGTTTTATTTTTTTAATTTTTTGTCCACACCATTTTTTTATTTTTGGACTTATGGTTATTTTATAATTTATTTATTAATTAAATTTTTTGGAAATAAAAAAATAAACATATAATCTAATAAGTATTGTATTTATTTCTTTTTTTACTTTTTTTATTTTTTTATAGTGAAATGAACGATTTATTCGTTAAATTTTTATTTTTTTTTATGTTTTTAATATTTTTTTTTTTAAAAAAAAGTGAATATTTGTTAAAAAAATAAAATTAAGGAAGAGGAATTGAGTCTAGGGTTAAAAGTAGAGGAATAAAATAATAAAAAGGAGGAGGAAGAAGAGGAAGAGGAAGATATAAAAATAGAAGAAAGAAAGAGAAGAGGAGTTTGTGTGTATAAAAGAAGAGGGATAGAAGAAAATAATATGAATGTGTTTTTTTTTTTTTTTTTTTTTTTAAAATAGAGGTAGAAAGAAAAATAGGAAGAGGGAAGAGGGATGATGGGAGGAGGATGATTAAATATATATTTATACTTATTCTTTTACTAGTTGAATTGTATTTACCTTTTTTTTTTTCTTTTTTCTTGATCAATTATTACTTTCTATATACACTTTTTTTATAATCTTATTTCATTGGATCCATTTTAACATTTTTTTCACCACCTGGAGTTAAACCGTATTTTCTTTTGAAAATTTCTAAAGTGATGGCAATGATAGCATAGGTTAAAAGTAAAATGGCATAAACAACGATGAAGGCATTGGCTTGATATTTCTTAGAGTCTGTGCTGTATTGATTTAAACCAGTCATAATGGTACCAATTGAAACCAATGAAACAAGTCTACCAAAGTATTTGTGAATTTGATTTGGGAAAATGGCATTACCTTCTTTTTTGAAAAGCCATGTTAAAATACCACCGCAGGCAGTGAAGAGAACCAAAGCAAAAGTAACAATACCAAAGACACTGTGTGGGTCAGATGTGTGTTGAACACCTTTATGTGCGACTAAGGCTAAAATGAAACCAACAATGATGAATGAAATTGCAAGAGCTTGAATACAAAGATGGAAATAGAAGGCCCATTTGAAACCACCAAGGTAACGAATGCTGAAAATAGCGAATGGAATTAAAATACCAAATGAAATGGACATAAGAGCGGCATGCCAGGCTAATAAAACATCGTGGTTGGCGGTAACAGTATCGTCAGTTTGGGCAGCACCAGAGTCGAGGAGGTTAATTGTAGCGGTACCATACTTGTATTTGGTGTAATCAGTAAAGTCAAAATCGAAACCAGTTCCAATATACCAAACAATTTCAAATGGTTGGTTAATATCGATGATATAATCGGCATTGGCATCACCAGTATTGAATTTTCTCTTAAAGTATGCCATTGTATGATGAGCAGTTTGTGTACCACCATAAGTAACAAAATCATTATTGGTACCATTAAGTACACTATCGTCAACAACACCTTTATCCATATTATCGATCTTGTCTCTGAAATCTGGCTCACCTAAACTATTGTATGTAATTGCTATAATATCTGGGTGACCCATTTCACATTCCATTGAATCACCAATACATTTATAACCAAAAGCTAACCATCCTGCAAAATTACCTGTTAAACCAATATAAAGTTCTTCTGCATCTTGATCAACGTCCCATGTTAATACAAAATTAGTTTCTGCATCTAAAAGAACTGTATTGGTACTTGTTGCTGTACCACCAGTACCTGATTCACCATGATCATGACCTTCATGGCCTTATTATAAAAATAAATTAAAATTAAAATAAAATTAAAATTTTTTTTTATTATTATTATTCATTTGTTTCTTTTTTACTTACAAATTGAAAGTGTAATTAATAAAAGTGTAAAAAAGATAATAATTGATTTCATTTATTTTTTTAAATGCTGTGTATTTTGGCATTAAAATAATTATTTTGGCAAATGGATGAAAAAAAAAATTATTTTGGCCAAAATAATTTTTTGCCTGTGTAAAAAATTTTAAAAAAAATGAAAAATAAAATAAAAATAATTTTTAAAATAAAAAAAAAAAAGATTGTTTATTATAAATGGGTGTGAAATTCGTGAAACCACAAAATAAATGATTTTTTTCTATCATTTTTGTTATTATTACTGTTGGTAATATAACTTATAATGCTATTCAAATAGAAATAAAAACAATCTATTTTTTAAAAAAAAAATAAAATAAAAGTTTTTGCAAAAGATACAAAAATAAAAATTCGAAAAACATACACACTCATACACCCTATACACATAAAAACACACACATAAACACATAAACACACAAATGATCTGTTAAATAATCCCCCTAAACAAGGTTTATTTTATTTAATCTAATTAAAATATCTTTTTTTTTATAAGAATAAAATTATTTGAACAACATAAATATATTATAAGAATACATATTTGTTTTTACATTATTAATTATTCTTTTTAAATTTAAATTTAATTATTTTATTTTATATCTAAAAATAAAATTAAAAAATAAAAAAAAAAAATAAAAAAAATAAAAAAATTAAAAAATTAAAAAAATCAAAATTTTTTTTTTTTTTTTTACATATTATGTGTATATAAAAATATTACTTTTTATTTATTTTTTTATTTAATTTTTTATTATTTTATTTATATTTAGTTTTAAATTAATATTAAAATTTTAATTGTAAACTAAATAGTCTATATAAAATAAAATTATAGTATAATAATAAAAATTCAAACATAAAAAATAATTCAAATTAACGTTTTTAAATAATGCGAAAAAAAAAAAAAAATTTAAAAATTTTAAAAAATTTTTTTTTAAAAAAATTAAAAAAATTTTCAAAAAAATATTTTTCGCTTATTAGTAGTTATACCACTCTATATACCCGTACAGAGAATTTGCAACGATGAAGGTTATCAACTCACAAAAAAAAATCACTATCCCAGAAGGTGTCACCGCTGAAGTCAAATCAAGAAGCGTTAAGGTAGGTTAGATAACAGAGTAGATTAGAAAGATAGATAATAGATAGAGACAGTGGATAGAAGATGCATGCACTACGATAGATGTTGGATTGAAGGTTATACAAAGATAATGGAATTTTTTATTATGCATAATCTATCTCGAATCTATGATTTATGATATAGGATTTAATTATCATTACATAGCACCAAATATTAATTATAATCAATCACTCACTCATAATAAATAGATTACCGGTCCAAGAGGTACCTTATCAAAGAGCTTCAACCATTTATCAATGGATATTAACTTAATCAAAGATAAAAACATCATTCAATTAGATGTCTGGTTCGGTAACAAAGCTCAAATTGCCTGTATCAAAACTGTTTCAAGCCACATCGAAAACATGATCACTGGTGTCACTAAAGGTTTCGAATACAAGATGAGATTCGTCTATGCCCATTTCCCAATTAACGTTGCCGTTGTTGATAGTGGTAGAACTGTTGAAATCAGAAACTTCTTCGGTGAAAAAATCGTTCGTCGTATCGAATTATTAAATGGTATCACCTGTGTCCGTTCAGAAAAAGTTAAAGATGAAATTGTTTTATCTGGTAACGATCTCGAATTATTATCACAATCATGTGCTACCATTCAATTAAGATCTGCCATCAAATACAAGGATGTCCGTAAATTCCTTGATGGTATCTACGTCAGTGAACGTAACGTCATTGAAACCAACTAAATAAACTTTTTTTATAAAATAATTGGTATAATTTAAAAAAAAAAAAAACATATTATATAATATTTTAGAATTTTTTTATAGGATTTAGATATAATTTTATAGCAAAAAAATAATATATTTTTTTATTTCATTGTTTTTTATTATTTTATTTTTTCTCTTAAATAATAACTATTTTTTGTAATCATTTTTGTGATAATAATTTAAAAAAGCAATTTCATCAAAATTTTTTATTTAAATGGCATTCAATATTAAAGAAATCATAATTTAACAAAATTTATTATGTCAATAATAATTTAGATTATTCAAACAAAAAAAAAAAAACCAAACAAATTTACACATTTTTTACTTTTTAGATCGAATGTTTTTATTTATTTTATTAATAACAAAATATAAAATTGGGATATAAATTATAATAATATTACAAAGTAACAGCGCAACACCAAATATTGGTTTTTATGAAAGAGATAAAAACAATGGAAAATAAAAATCTAATAAAATATATTTTTTCCTTTAAATAAAATAATTATTGATTAAATTTATTACAAAAAATTCAAAAATTTCAAGTAGAGTTTCAAGACAGAGTTTAGAATTACAAATTTAAAAGAATTAATAATTTTAATTAAAAGCTATTAATTTTTTTTTGTATAAATTATTAACCAAAGTTTTTTTATCATTCTTTCAATTAGAATGGTGCAAAGGTTAACACTATTTATATTTATTCGATTCTAAATTTTTTCAGTAAAATTAAATTTAATTTTGATTATTTAGTTTTGGTTATTTATTAACCAATAAATTTTTTTATTTTTTTTTTTTTATTAATTGCTAACCACCAATTTTTGACTTACCCCTTCAATAAGAATGGTGCAAAGGTTAACACGTCTTTTATTAATTTATTTTTAAAATTTTTTTTTGTGATTTAATTTTGATTATTTGATTTTAGTTATTTAAAATTTTGTAAATTTTTTATGATTTTTGAAAAATTGTAATGATACCTCATAAAAATAATGAAAGTTTTCAAATAATAATAATTCTTGAAATAGTAATAATAACTTTTATAATAATATCTCTTAAAATAGTAATAATTTTTAATTAATAATATATATGGTTAAAACTGTCACATGTTTAACATATATAAAAATTCATGTCAACTATAAATACTTCAGTAATAATTCTCTATTAATGACTCTTTTATATTAACTTCTAATAACAATAACAATTAATAAGATAAATAACTAAAACACTTAAATAAATGTTTCTAAACTATATTTCTATTAAAACTAAATTTCTTTATTAATCTTAGTAATAATTATATTTTATTATATATTTCCTGTAACTCCGAGTGGACCTCTAACTGTAGCCGTCTTTCAGATAGGGGTTCCATAACAACATATGTAATGAAAAGGTATATGATTTATGACTAAGTTATACAACTACAATACTTAACGAAAATATAATAAACTCTAAAATAAACACGCAATAAAATATATTAACACAAACTAAATAATAAACACAAAAACACTTAAAACAATTATGAGAATGCGAATAACACTAAAATATACTTTATTTATTATTTATCTTTATTACTTGTCCAAACAATATATCTATAACTAACTAAAATAGACTAACTAAAAAACTTTAAAGTTTTAGACTGAGGACTTGAGGTATTTATACTGAATGAAACTGGTTCTAGAAGCTAATTCTTAAAGTAGTTGAAATACTGGACTTGGTATATTCGTTTATCAGATAATAACACACATTCATTATTTTATAATCAATGTCAAATTTTAACACATTTTTAAAACAGTTTTTAATTAATTTTAATTTTTTTAAAAATAATATTTTTCAGTATAAATTAAAATTCAAAAAATAATTTTAAGGAGAGAATATAGTTTAGTTATAGAGTTTACAAATAATAATAATAGTAATTTTTAGTTTTAATAAAGATTAGTTATTTTTTAAAATATAATTTTTAAATATTTTTATATATTTAATTTGGTTTTATTATATTTTATTTTATCTTTATTTTGTTTTATTATTATTATAATTAATTACATTTAGTTTGTTTGGTAATTAATTCATTATTTCGGGGTTCTTTAATATAACAACAGTTATATTACATTTGGCGACAGCTCAGCAAGCTATTTTTGGGATTTATTACATTTGGGGACTACTTAGTAAGCCATGTTGCAGTTATTTTTCCGACATGTGATATAACAACAATTTTAAAATCAATTTAAATTTATTATAATAATCATAAACATATATCACATTAATTGGAAAAAATCACACATATATCATTTAATATTTATCATCATATTTTGACACATTTTTAAATTTATTATTTTTTTAATTAATTTTATTTTTTTAAAAATAATATTTTTCAATATAAATTAAAATTCAAAAATCATTTTTAAAGCAGAAAATAAAAGAAAAAGAGTTAAGTTATAAAGTTTACAAATAATAATTAGTAGTTTTTAGTTTTAATAAAGATTTGTTATTTTTTAAAATATAATTTTTTAAATATTTTTATATATTTATTTTGGTTTTATTATATTTTATTTTATCTTTATTTTGTGTTTTATTATTATTATAATTAATTACATTTAGTTTATAATACATTTTGTTTTGTAATTAATTCATTATATTAGAGTTCTTAAATATAACAACAGTTATATTACAGACATGTGATATAACAACAATTCTAAAATCAATTCAAATTTATTATAATAATCACAAACATATATCACATTTATTAGAAAAAGACAAACATATATTATTTTATAATTATCAACAAATTTAGACACATTTTTAATTTAAATAGTCACACATCTATTATTTTATAATAATCAAATGTAAACACATTTTTAAAATTAAATATTTTTTTTAAATTAATTTTATTTTTTTAAAAATAATATTTTTCAGTATAAATTAAAATTCAAAAATAATTTTTAGTCAGAGAATAATAGAGAAAATAATATAGAGAAAGTAATAAGTAATAGTTTAGTTATAGAATTTATAAATAATAATAATTAGTAATTTTTAGTTTTAATAAAGATTAGTTATTTTTTAAAATATAATTTTTAAATATTTTTATATATTTATTTTGGTTTTATTATATTTTATTTTATCTTTATTTTGTGTTTTATTATTATTATAATTAATTACATTTAGTTTATAATACATTTTGTTTAGTAATTAATTCATTATATTAGAGTTCTTAAATATAACAACAGTTATATTACATTTGGCGACAGCTCAGTAAGCTATTTTCGGTATAATATTACTGACATTGTAGTATAACTGCCCCCCGTCCGAACCAATCTCATTCAGTATAAATACCTCAAGTTCTCAGTCTAAAACTTCAGAGGTTTTTTTATTCTATATTATTCAATAAATTACAATTTCATTATACATATAATATTTGTTATTTGTTGTTTATTTGTTATACTTATTTTACATATATATATACTTAATTATTTGTAAGCTGTATAGAGCTTCATTACATTTTGGCGACAGCTCATCAGAATCTGTTTTGTCTCGTTTTGCGTTTGTTTTAAATTTTTAAAAAAATTAATTAAAATTTTTAAAAAAAAAAAAAAAAAAAAAAAAAAATTTTATTTTTAATTAATTTGTCGGTTCATAAATAAGAAGATATAAAAAAAAAAAAAAAAAAAAATAAAAATAAATTTCAAAAATGTTTCCATTTAATAACCAAGGTGATATAAATAGTAATTCAGAAAGTAATAGTTCAAATTTAGAAAGAAATGACTTTTTTAATAATAGTTTAAATAATAATAATTTTGAAAATGAAAATAGTAATTTAGAAAATAATAATAATAATGTTAAAAGTAATTATCAAGTTAAAGCGGAAACCACAAATCCCACTGTAAAACCTACAGGTATCATTCCACCATCCCAGAAAAAACCTACAGTAAATAATAACTCAAATAATGTCAAGTTAAAAGAACAAGAACTAAAAATGATGGAATTGATAAACAATCAAATGAAAATATTGAAGGAATTAAATTTTCAACCAAATCGTACTCCATTTCCAGAAGAATCTAAATTTGATGGAGCTAATAGAGCAGAGTTCGATAAGAATTGGGATTTATTTGAATTTCTTTTTAGACATCATTTTGTTAGACCAACAAGTGCTAACTTACTCTCCAGTTTGCGTGGTAGTGCAATAGATAGATTAAGATCTATTGACCCGTTTAATTCAAATTCCGTAGAAGATAATATTCTCAGGTTAAGAACATATTATCAAGATAGTCCAAGTGTCGTTTTGGATAGATTCTCTAAGTTTTCTAGAGAAAATAAATTTAAATCATTAGATTCCTTGCTACTTGTATTCTCAATCGTAAAGAAAAGAAGTAATTTACCAGATGAAGCCGCAATCACTTTTTTAAACCAAGCTTTAGGATGTAATTTTAAAGATTATTTAGCTTTAAAATGTAGAAAGGACACCACTTATCAAGAATATCTCGAAGAAATAAGAAACTTAGAAATCGCTTTCACTGAATCCAAAGGAGTTTCCTTATATTTAATTAAAGAACCATTAAATGGTATTTTTGGTACAAATAGAACCCCTAGTGTCTCTGTAGCAAATGAAAATAATCCAAGTTTTAATGTTGCCGGTATTAGTAATGATACACAAAATATGTCCGTCGTTTGTTATTCATGTGGACAGAAAGGACACTTTAGTAGAAATTGTCATAACAAAGATAAGTTTTCCCAAAATAGAAGTAATAGATATATTAATAGTAATCATAGGAATAATTATAATCAAAATGGATATAATCAAAATAATTACAATAATTATCAGTTAAATAGAAATAAGAATAATAATCAAAGATCAAGTTTTAATAGTTATAATAATAATAGTAATAGAAGTAGATATGTTAATAATCAATAAAATTATAGAGATAGAAATAATAGTAATTTAAATAATGACTATATAGGTAGTGATGTAAACGTCGAGCCAACAATCAACACAATCGCTAGTGTTTCAGGATATAAAAATGTATGTGCAAATTTGAAGATAAACAATCAAGGTGTTAGAGTTCTCATAGATACTGGTGCTAGCTTATCATGCATAAGAGAATCACTTGCAAAAAGACTCAATCTCTCAATTAACTCAAGTAAAAAAATCATACAATCTGTAAGTAACCACAAACTACTTCCAATTGGTACAACTATCTGTAACCTTTCGTTTGGTCCTGTTTCTGAACAAGTTGAATTAGAAGTATTTAGAGATTCCGATATCTCCTCGTCATGTATTTTAGGTTTAAACGGTTTAAATGCCATTGGTGCTGATCCAATCCTTTCAAAAAGTAAATTAGTCTGTAGTAAAGCTAATTGTTATGTCCCGTTATATTCGTACACTGAAAATAGTACACCGTTAGATAGTAATTTCAACCCAGCTCAGCTCAATTCAACCTCAGTTAATGTTCTCAATTATCAGTCTTTAAAGCCCAAACCCGATAATAATTGTTATAGAATCAACTCTGTAAGATATGCCAATAATTCAGAAAGCATATTCAGTCAATCATCATCACACCCAGACCATCACTCATCAACACGTCAAACATCAATCAAGTCAAGTAATATAAATTCTCGTAATTGTAATAATTTTAATAGTAATAGTTTTAATAGTAATAATAACAACTTTGATAATGTCAATTCCCGTAATAGTAATAAGTTCAATAGAAATAATAATAACTTTAATAATAAAATCAGTAAGAAATTTAAGCAACATCCTGCATTCATCAAATCTTTAGAACGAACAGTTATAAATGCAGATAATCATTCAACTCAAAATCCAAACAGTACACGTCAATTCACAACCAAGTTTATCAGTCCGCTCAAGATGGATCAATTATTCTCACTGCTGTGCAACAAGCTCAATTAAATAATTTGTTAAAGAAATATGTTCGGAATGTCAAAAGAATTTTATTCTCTCAAGACCGTTTCAATTCGGTGCCGTCGAATTTCCAAAACCGTGGGGAAAATGTAGTATAACTGCCCCCCGTCCGACCATATATATACTGTTATGATATCGCTATATTAACGCTATGACCCTAGGCTAATTAAGAGTCACTAACTGCTGTTTACTAACTACTGCTTAGTAACTACCAATTCCAGTGTTTCCAAATAACTTAAGAATTAGCTTCTAGAACCAATCTCATTCAGTATAAATACCTCAAGTTCTCAGTCTAAAACTTCAGAGGTTTTTTTATTCTATATTATTCAATAAATTACAATTTCATTATACATATAATATTTGTTATTTGTTGTTTATTTGTTATACTTATTTTACAATATATATATACTTAATTATTTGTAAGCTGTATAGAGCTTCATTACAACATAATATAATATGTTCGGATGGTGTAGTTGGTTATCACGAATCCTTAACACGGATTAGGTCGTGGGTTCGATTCCCGCTCTGAATATATTTTTATTGGATTTTTCGAGGTTTGGGAAGGATATCTTCCAAGTGATTATTTTATAAAAAATAAAACAATTTAATTGTAATGTAGATGGAGCTACTTTAGTTATAGATAAATAATAAATATAAATAATTCTAATAATCAAATAAGTATACAATTATTTGTTTGTGAAAACTAAAACCGAAAACTGAAAACTAAAAAATAAAATTTTATTTTTTAAATTTTTCAATTTTTTTATTTTTATTTTATTTTTAATTTTTAATTTTAAATAATAAATTATTTAAAATAAAGGAAAATATAAATATATTATTTAGTTGAGATATAATTATAACTGTAATATTCATTTAATTCTAAAATGCATATGAATACATTACATAATCTTTATTTCTTACTTTTTCTATCAACATAGTAATAATAGACAAATTAAAATTTAATTTTATTTATAAACTGATGACTTAATATATCATTAAGAATCATCTTCACTTTTATAAAAAAAAAAAAAAAAAAAAAAAAAAAAATAATTTTATTCCAAACCAAAAAAACAAAAGAAAAATAAATTAAAAAAAAAAAGTTTTTATTTTTATTTAATTAAAGGTTAAAATAATATTTTGTTTTTTTTTCTCATAATAAAGATAAACATATATTTTACTGATTTCCTAAACACACTCGAAAGCAATCACCACCTGATCTTATACACTTGAGACATTCTTGAATAGGACTTTCTTCAATGTTATCTTCCATAGCAAAGGTTAATGAACCAGCGAAGAAAATAATTATTAAAATTATTAAAAATAATTGTTTAGACATTTTGATTATTAAAAGTAATAGTTTTAAAAATTAATTTATAAAAAATCCATTTTTATACTCTATAATTATTAAAGGCGATGTTCAATTAATATATAGTAAATTATAATTAGTACTAATTTTTTATTGGTTACTTATCTTATTTTATATACGTAAATACTTGCATTTAAATGATTGATATTTAATAATCTTTTTTATGAGTTTTAAAATTTTATAATTTGATTGATCAAAAATCTTTTATTTATTTTTAATAATATAGTTAATTAATAAATAATATTATTATTAATAGTTTATAAAGAATGACAACTAATAAATTAAAAAAGAATTTTTAATCTCCATATTTTCCTTTAAAATTTTATTAAAAAATAATAATGTTAAATTGATAATATTTATATTATAAAAATAAATTAATTTTTTTGCATATAGATAGTTTTTTAATTTTTTGGGTGTGGGTAATTAATTTTTTTTTACACGTATGAAAGATTTTTTATAGATCATTTTTTTTAAAATAATCACATAAAAACAAATAATAAAAATAAATAACCAATGGTTTTAAAATTCCATAATTTTTCATATTATTTCTTTTAAACGCTGATTTTATAGTATTTGTATATTATTAATATAAAATTATTTTAAAATGTTTTTTTAAAAAATAAAATTAAAAATAACCCATATTCATTTAGTTTTATTATTTTTTTTTTATTTTAAATTTTTTATTTGTTTTTTTTTTTATAAAATAATTTTATAAAAACAACAATTCATTTTCACTATTTATTATTTAAATCATATTTTATTTAATAAAAAACATATTTTGTAAAAAATAATAATAATAATTATAATAATAAAACTATAATAATAATAATCAACAATCATTAAAAAATCAATTTATTTATTTGTTTATTTTTTTAAATTCTATAAAAACTATAAAAAAAAAAACAATGAGAATTTTAAAAAATTTAATAGTTTTAATTTTAATTTTTACAATTTTATATAACCCAATTAATTGCAAAACTATTAAAGCCCAAGACGATGTAGAGGATGCAGGTGATGTTATACCAGTTATTACACCAAAACCAACTACAAAACCAGTTGCCACTGTACCGGAACCAACTGAATCTGCTGATCCAGGTAATAATAAAATAGCAAATCCACCAAATCATCAAACTGTTGCACCAAATGATGTGCCAACATTTAAACCAACAAATACAAAAGCACCAGAATATCAACCATTAACATCATTACCACCCACACAAGCACCACCAAAATCAGCAGCACCAACTACAACTATGCCACCAAAAGGTGGCCAATACCAACCACCACCACAAATTCCAAATCAAATACCATCTAAAACTTCAGCACCAAAAGTCACACAACCACCTCCAGTTGAAACTGATCCACCAGCAGAAGAAACTGAAGCACCAACACAAAAGCCATCAAAAACCAAAACACCGGCACCTACACCAGAAGAAGATACCAAAGAACCAGCTGATTTAGGTTCTTTTTCTTTAGAAACTGATAAACCAACACAAACACCAAAGCCACCAAAAACTACACCACCAACCAATTTAATTCCAACATTTTCAGAATCATCATTTGAATATTCTGGATTTGATTCATCAAAATCAGATTCTTCAGATTCATTTAAATTATCATATAACCAGTTGTTTTTATTCTCTATATTATTTTTAAATATATTAAATATTTTAGTTTAGAAATGTAAAATAAAAATATATAAAAAATAATATTAATTTTCTTAATAAAATTTAATTCTAAAAATAATATTGTTGAGGAATATTTAGATGTATACATTGTGTTATTATTGATATTTTTATAAATGTTCACTATATTTTTATAACAAAAAAAAAATTTATAACTACCAGATGTTTTATTTATTTTTTTTTTAATTAAATTTTTTTGTTTTATTCATTATTTAAATGAAATTATTAATTACTTTCCTTGTAATTTTACATATATTCGTTTCAGTTTTTTCATCAGAAGAAGCTTACTTTGAGTTTAGAACATTGGGTGAACCCCATTTTTTCATTAAATAAATTGACCCAAAGAAAATTAAAATGGCAAGATATTTTATCAAGAGGTATGTACCAGTTGCCTTAAAATAAAAAATTATACATTTGTTAAATCAAAATTTAATTCGAAAAAAAGTTAAAAATTTGGTGGTTTTTTTGTTATTTAAAATTTGTGCAAACTTGGTTGTCTCTCACAATATTTTATAATTTATTTTCACTCATTTCGGTCATTTTAGAATTTTTTTTGTTTAAATTTTCGACCATTTTTTTATAGATATATATATAAAAATATTTTTTTTTCTTTATACATAAAACAATTACAATGACAAAAGCAAAGCCACCTATCACAATACCAGCAATTTTACCAGCACTTAATGATTTGTTTGCACAAATTGATGATGCAGGATATTGATCAAGTAATATAGAAAAATCTTTCAAAAAATAAAAAAAATATTAATAATCTATTGTTGCAGGTATTATTATAGTAAGACTACTTACCAGGATCGAGGATAACCTTTTTGGTATAGAATGGAATTTTTAAACCAATATATGATTGGACTGAAGATGGTTTGGTAATTGCTTTCATACTAGAATCTAATAAAACATTAGAAATTGAACGAACATTTGAATCAACGATACCTCTTCTAACAAATCTACCATATAATGAATAATCTTTAACTTTAATCTTTAGATAGTTAGAGTTATCACCTCCTGCAGTTTCACCAAATTCTTTTGATGAACATACACCATTGGATGTACTTGAGTTAAATTGTGCTGACATGATTAACTCTAGTCCGTTTAAGGTACTGTCGAAAGGATATTCTAAGATTTCAATTGTATATTTTAGAGTTGATGGGTTCATGGTTAACTCTTCATTTGCAAATATAACGGTTGTTTTATTAACAAACCATTTTAAGGTTACTTTTACATTTGTTACGATGATATCGTTTTTGTTGTTAGTTGTGTTTAATTTATTATAAAAATCGTATGTGTATGGTTCAGTTTCTATTGAGGTCCAAGTATCTTCAAATGGATAAAGTTTTACAGTTTCACCATTAATATTAGTTTCTTTTAAAGCAACAATCGAAATTAACGAAGAATAAGTAACAGGATTTGTAGAGTTTTTATCTGGTACAGTAATCTCGATTGATGGGCCAGAGTTATTACCTCCAATAGCTGGTGGGTCGACAGTTACAATTTGTGATGAGCAATCTTTACCAAACCATGGTGAAATACATAAACAACCTTTATTTTCGACACATGTACCATGTGATGGGCCACCACAAACTGGATTACCTAAACATGTTTGAGGTGCATTGGTTGGAATTGGAGTAGTTGGGGTATCTGAACTATCTTTTTTATTCAATGGAATATAAAAGTCATAAACAGTTGGTTTAATCTCTAATATATTGGAGTCTAATGATGATTTTTTGATATATACACTATATGGTTTATCAGTTGCTTTCACATTTTTAATTAGAAGAGCTGTTGAATAATAAAGTGATGGGATTTTAGTTTCAGTTTTACCATCGCTATATGTAATATGGACTTCTGAATTTCCATTTAAATCTTGACCAAAAATCCATAAATCTCCACCTTTTTCTGTAATCAAACCATGAGATAATAAAATTGTATTTAATGTAAAGCTTGTTCTAATATTATAAACTATATCTAAACCTAAATTTAGTTTTAGATCCATAAGATCATTGGTAGAATAGCCATTAAATAAACCATTATTATTGACAAAACCGTAAACTGATATAATAATATTATCTTTGTAACCAAAACCGAATGGTATTTGTAATGTGCATGAATAAGAAGCCTTTTGGTTATCAATCGAAATAATAGAAGATATACATTCAATAATTCTATTGTTTGAAGTACTTAAATAGACAATTGGATATGTATTATTCTTTAAACCACTTTCAGGATCTGATGCTGTAAAACTAATAGTAAATGCTCTATCTTTACTTCCAACATCAATTGTTTGAGATGATACTGTTAGTGAATTTAATACTGGTGGAGTTGTGTCTAATGAGGCTATTTCATCACTTTTGCATGTAAGGAAGACTTTATTAATAATTGATTCATTTAAAAAGTACATAAATGGGTTTAAAGTTGCTGATAATGGATTTGGAGATGTTATTGAAAAATATGAAAATCTTTTGATTTTATCATATAAACCAACCTCGCTAATTTTGTAATTTTGACTTATACAAGGGTATGAAATTTTGATTATAAAGTCATATTCACCCAAGAATTCATCACCACCTGCTTTTACATCTTTTGCCGTGAATGTTATGTTATAAATAGACTGGTCAACTTCACCTCTAATTGTTACATATCCTGATTCGAAACCATTTATTGGATCTTCAATACTGATACTCCACCCAATTTGACCAATGTTATTGTTTTTATCAATAGTTATTGGTGATATTTTTTTTATATCCTTAAATATTGGTCCTTGTAAATCTAAATTTGATTTTTTAATTTTTAATTTTGTATCTAAAGCTTGATAAGTGATAGCAATATTTGAAATATATAAATCAAAATTAAATTCATTTAGTTGTGTATTACATTCTACATAAAACTCCAATTCGAATAGTTTTAAATCTTCATTATATCTTGAATAGAATATATTCACATAAGTGGATGAAGTATAAACAGGGTTGCTAAGAATTGTTGCATCACGTATTATAAGCCCAACAGATCTATCTTTTGGTATTTCCGAGCTATTAAAGTACAATACATTATGGTGTCTGTGATTTGAAATATCAATATCATTATATAAAAATGAAACTTGTTTTATTGATTGGAAATTAACTGAAATATGAATAATAGTTTTAAATTAATATAAGTTTTTTAATTTTTTCTAAATAATTTTTTATATATTTACAATTTTTTGTTTCATATGGATTAATAAAAGGTTTAAATCCTTTGGTAGTGCTAATAACCTTATCAGCTCCTAAAATTTCAACATTCTTAAACTCATCATATATCTCCAAGTGAATAAGAGGGATATCCAGAATAATTTCGTATATACCTTGATTTAAATCTCCTGAAACCAAAACTTCAACTCCATAGTAATTTCTATTATTAGTTTTATCTTTAATATAATAAAGTGAGTTTTGTGCACTAATTTCTAATCTTAGTAAATACATTTCTTTTTCCAAATGAATTACTTCAAAATCTATAATTTTTGGGCCGTTAATATTTCCAATTTCTATTTTTAAATAATAAATAATTAGATTTTAACATTAATAGAAATATTTTTAAAAAACTTTATAAATACCATTGAAATTATAATTTGAAGAAATCACTTGTTGTGGAAATACTCTTGATTTTAATGAAATATATCCAAACTGCAAAGAAAAATATCCACTTTTAACAATAGAGTTTATATAAAATCTATATCCATTGGTTGTTGAGGAATATCCGAATGGAAATCTAGTTTCTATTTTTTCTTCGTCCAAATCAACAATAATTGGACCAAAATCATATAATTGAATATCATTAAATCCATATGCTATTGTCATTAAACCTCCTTTATATTCATCTAATTCTCCAGTAGATGGTAGATTTTGAATTTTATCTATTTTTATAATTTAAAAATAAAAAATTAATTTTAAATTTTTTAAAAAATTATTTAAAAAAATTTCTATATTTACATGAATTCATTTTTGCATCAATCGAATAGTTTGATTTTTTAACTTCCCCATTGTTAATATAGTAAATACTATAATGTGTCATAGCATCATAGGTCGATGGTGCATACAAAAAAGTTGTACTATGTTCGTCACCATAAATTGGTTTGAATTGGGTATAATATAATTGATCGTTAACATTTATCTCAAATAAACTTGAATAAACAGAGTTGTTTAGTTTGAATTCGATAACTGCACCTTCATTATAACCAAAAGTTTCTAAACTATTTAAATATTTAACATCTGGATATGTTTTAATATCATAAACTTTATCGAAAATACCTAAATATAAAAGTTTTATGAATAAAATATTTTAATAAAAAAGTTATTTTATTTTTTTTTATTTATTAAACCTTTACCTTTACCAATTGGTTCCAATACAAAATCTTTTACATTATTATTACTTGTAATTTGTACACTTATTGGAGAAAGAGGAGCCATTTGTAAAATTACTGCTCTTAATTCAAAAAAATTAGTCCCTAGTATGTTATAAAAATAATAAGTAGAGTAGAAACCAATTTTTTCCAGAGAAGCCTGTGGATCAAAATCACCTTCCATTTTATATAATCTGAGGTACATATTACAATTGAAATCTACTATTGGTTTATAATAAGCATCACCAAATGGTTTAAAAGAAATTTCATTTAATTCAAGCTCTGTTTTTTTTTAAAATAAAATTAACATCAATGATATAATCAAATCTCTATAAGTCTATTTTTTTATATTTACCTAAACACTCGCTTTTAAAAGTAAATGTTGAATTGATTGTATTGGAATAATTGCCAATTGGTGTGTTTAAAGTAATATCGATAACTGTTGCTGTTCCATTACTAATTTTGTCACCCAATTTAACATATTGTGGTTCATTAAATTCTAAATTGTCACAATCATCCTCAGGAGATTCTTCCACACACAAAACTTTATATCTAAATTCACAAGTTGTTGCTGATGCATATTTTTTTGAAAATCTGTTTTCAAAAACAATTTCTTCAATTATAGAAGCCTGTACTAATTTTATTGAAAGTATAATTATTAAAAATAATAAAATTTTATTTTTTATTTTCATTTTAAAATTAAAAATAAAATATTCTTATTTTAGAAATAATAAAAAAATAGGGAAAAAATAACATTTTAGTTTTAAAAAAATAAAATAAATTATTTTGCGTAAAAGCTTATACTTAATCGAAAACTTAAAAATTTAAAAAAAAAAAAAAAAAATTGGTGAAACAAAAAATTGAAAAAATCTGAAAAAAATTTCAAAAAACGTAGTTATGATAATGATAAATACTTCAACCCGACAAACGAATATAAAAAGAAGGGATCAAGAATTTTTAGAATTTGTTTCTCTTTTAGCAATGGAACATTTAATAGTTATTTATTATTTTATAATAATGGATATAATAGTGACAACAGCGCAGATTTCTAATACCATTCAAATTATATGCTACAATTGTCACTGATGGTTGGGAGCAACAATTTGGAATGCCATTTAATTTATAATATAGTGGTAAAAAAAGTAAATCAAATTTAAATTTATTGTTTATTGTTTTAAAAAGAAAGGAAAAGTATTGCATATTGGTTGTAAAAATTAACTAGAAAATAAAAAAATTAGAAGTGTAATAATTCTTCTGGCATTTATTTATTCAAGTTATTTTGATTATATTTGTATTCGAAACCGTCATCAATAGTCTCTTTAAAAAATATAAAAATTTATCATTTTTTTATTTCGCCACCCACTTTTCTTTTTTTTTTTTTTTTAAAAATTTGTAATTAATTAAAGATTGTTCACATAAAAAATAATAGTTTGTTTTTATCATTATTTGAATAATTATATAGATCTATATAATAATTAAAAGAACATCAATTTTTAAATAAATCACTAATATTAGAAGAATCACAGTCAGATTCAATTATAAATACAGAAATTTTTAAAAAAAAACAAAAATAAAAAATTTAAAAAAATAAAAATAAAAAAAAAAATATTTTTTATTAAATTTTAATTATTTATAATTTATTTTCACTCATTTCAGTCATTTTTTTGTCGATATTTTCGACCATTTTTTTATAGAATATAAAAATATTTTTTTTTCTTTATATTATATATAATACATATAGCAACTACAATGACAAAAGCTGAGCCACCTATCACAATACCAGCAATTTTACCAGCACTTAATGATTTATTTGCACAAATTGATGATGCAGAGTATTGATCAACTAATATAGAAAAATCTGTTTAAAAAATAAAAAAAAAATTAATAATCTATTTTTGCAGGTATTATTATAGTAAGACTACTTACCAGGATCGAGGATAACCTTTTTGGTATAGAATGGAATTTTTAAACCAATATATGATTGGACTGAAGATGGTTTGGTAATTGCTTTCATACTAGAATCCAATAAATCATTTGAAATCGAAAGAACTGTTGAATCAACGATACCTCTTCTAATAAATCTACCATATAATGAATAGTCTTTAACTTTAATCTTTAGATAGTTAGAGTTATCACCTCCTGCAGTTTCACCAAATTCTTTTGATGAACATACACCATCGGATGTACTTGAGTTAAATTGTGCTGACATGATTAACTCTAGTCCATTTAAGGCACTCCCGAAAGGATATTCTAAGATTTCAATTGTATATTTTAGAGTTGATGGGTTCATGGTTAACTCTTCATTTGCAAATATAACAGTTGTTTTATTAACAAACCATTTTAAGGTTACTTTTACATTTGTTACGATGATATCATTTTTGTTGTTAGTTGTGTTTAATTTATTATAAAAATCGTATGTGTATGGTTCAGTTTCTATTGAGGTCCAAGTATCTTCAAATGGATAAAATTTTACAGTTTCACCGTTAATATTAGTTTCTTTTAAAGCAACAATCGAAATTAACGAAGAATAAGTAACAGGATTTGTAGAGTTTTTATCTGGTACAGTAATCTCGATTGATGGACCAGTGTTATTACCTCCAATAGCTGGTGGGTCGACAATTACAATTTGTGATGAGCAATCTTTACCAAACCATGGTGAAATACATAAACAACCTTTATTTTCGACACATGTACCATGTGATGGGCCACCACAAACTGGATTACCTAAACATGTTTGAGGTGCATTGGTTGGAATTGGAGTAGTTGGGGTATCTGAACTATCTTTTTTATTCAATGGAATATAAAAGTCATAAACAGTTGGTTTAATCTCTAATATATTGGAGTCTAATGATGATTTTTTGATATATACACTATATGGTTTATCAGTTGCTTTCACATTTTTAATTAGAAGTGCTGTTGAATAATAAAGTGATGGGATTTTAGTTTCAGTTTTACCATCGCTATAGGTAATATATGCTTCTGAATTTCCATTTAAATTTTGACCAAAAATCCATAAATCTCCACCTTTTTCTGTAATCAAACCATGAGATAATAAAACTGTATTTAATGTAAAGCTTGTTCTAATATTATAAACTATATCTAAACCTAAATTTAGTTTTAGATCCATAAGATCATTGGTAGAATACCCATTAAATAAACCATTATTATTGATAAAACCATAAACTGATATAATAATATTATCTTTGTAACCAAAACCGAATGGTA